CTTCTTTCTTGACGTTTGGATGTCGGCTGCGGCATCCATTCTTTGCGGCTCCTGCTTCGAAAAGAAAAATGTCTGGAACAAGTTTTCGCCTCGCGGTCTTTTCGGATTCGTGATCATTTCGCTGATTGTTAACTACATTCCAGATACATTGCGTGGACACCTACATCAATTGATGGCTATTATCTACACCATGAAAAAATGTGTGACCGGGCCCCAGATAGCGGTCTCTACGTGTACAGCCCCCAATCCGATCAGATCGCTGCTGTCGCAAGTCAGGTGATACCATGTTTTGTTTTATCAGAGTCAACTTCATTAATCCGAGGTCACTATCTGTTTTTCGTATATATTGTATTCCCGAGACTATGCCCGAAACTTCATACTCCGTGCTCCGTACAGCAGCTCGCACCATTATAGTATCCGTGCACTGATAGTGGAGCCACAGGATCTGTCATATACGCAGGATGCGATATTATACGCGATGGCGTATATGCGGAGAAGTTCGGTCTTCGTATATAATATATGTAAGTATACGCCATCCGATCGGCCCCCACGAACCACACGCAGTGGCGTCGTGATCAATAAACGCACCGGCATTCCCGAAGGTAAGATTATCCCGAACCAGAAAAGATCTAGCGCGCCGAAGCCCTACTTTGACTAATTTGGTAAATGAAGCGGCAGTAATGGACGCTCCACCGCAACGCGAGCCTTGTCAGGCTGAAAATAGCCACGCGATTGATGTGTTCGGGGGACTTGGCGGGGGCCAAGGCTTTTTGTAGCGACTTGTTCTAGAAAATGGACATGGGTTAGGCGATCGATCACAGGTTATATATGCCGCGATTGCAGCTAATATTGCCCAAATCAGGATGAGAAGATAGGGGTTGTTTATTGGACCACAGCTAGGCATTGACAATACTGTTGCATGCCAATCGGGAGCAAGGTTAGGAGGTTAGGGTATGCACGGTCAAAGGGTCATCGGTCAAGAGTTCCGCTATCCCCAATCGGGAAAAAGCAGGTTGGAACCTTTGTGGATCAGCTCCACTGCACTAGGCCGCTTTGGGCTTTGGGCTTCATAACTTTCGCCCCCAGGGGGGTGTGGGGCCGTGTATAATGTGCAGCTGAACTGGTTTTCGCCATTATGATTATGAATCGGAATGTTCCATTGATCTGCAGGGAAGGGCAATCCCCGAGCTTATCTCCCCTAGGGTAAAGTGGTAAAGTGCCTAGCGTGAGCCTGGTTGTAAGCACTTGCTCGAAACGGATGGGGCCTCGGAGTTTTGCTCTGAATAGGAGCCATTATCAATGAAGGCCAGGGTAGCTTATATTGTCACTAGGACTGAAGAAGGAGAGTGGACCTCGGATTATGTCATGAGCACGAGCCACCCGTGAATGGGCTGCATTTGCCAATTCGGGATGCTTGGCCTCTCTCCTAGAGTCTCTCCACTGTTTCGGTGCGTTGCACTTTTAGAGAATTACCGAGGCCAAGGCGATGACCCATTGTCGGTCCACCGCTATGACTATTTCTCTTGGGGGTTTTCCGCACTCATACTCCTTTGGGTGAGAGCTGGGATCGCCGATCTTGTCTGATCAACTTGGCAGAGGTTCAAATTGCCCACTCTCCCCCCGGAACCTTAAGGGGACAAAAACACAAACAAGGTCTCGTGCGGGTGTTTACCCCTCTGCCATGGAATCACTTGAACCTGCCGTGACTTGGTCAAATAAGCGACTCCAGGAAAGCATGCAAAGTCGCCGACGGATCAAGGTATGACACCTACTTCCATTCCCGCTTAGACCATGTTCCGAAGCCATGAGACCTTGTATATGGTCCCATTTGGACCACCAGATTTTGCGTGCGTCGGGTTTATCCTACCGAATATATCTAACGGCTTTATAGTACAAGGAGAACCCGGGCTCAACCCCGACTTGTTTACATTGCGCTGGCCGCAATATACTCAGCCAATATCCGCCTCGACCCCGGTTGACCCGGATAGACATCAAATATCGATCCCCGTCTTCGTCCAGCGCTTCGTATACCTCAACATTGATGGGCTCGCCATTATCATCAATGACAGAAACCCGAACTCAGGCAACGACCGATTCAAAATATGCCCTTACGCAGACCTGCCTACCAGAAAAAATGGAAGAAACCCTCCATCTCCAAGACCTCGAACTGATGATGCACTGGTGCACAACAACCTACAAATCATTGGCGCGAGACCCCCCATCTGAAAGAATATGGCAAACCATCGTCCCGAACCTCTCCCTCCGATACCCAGCCCTGCGCCACGGCCTCCTAGCCCTATCAGCCCTGCACCTAGCATCATCAAGCGCAGGACCTTCCCGACGGTGGCGGTACCTCGACACAGCCCGGTCCCACCGAACACATGCGCTAAACGGACTCCGGCAAGACAGCCAAGACCTAACAGACCCAGAATGCAACGCCACCTTCGCCCTCTGCTGCATAATGCTCGTCTTCGCGTTCGGCTACTGCATTCTCGAAATCGAAAACGACGAGCCAGACGAAGACCAACCAGGCCCGCTGGATGAGTTCTTCGAGGTCTTCCAGTTGACCCGGTGGCTGCTTAGCATTCAGATGCGCCTTATTGACCGCATCTCTGTTACCGAGCTCGGGCCACTCATTGCACCGGATGATTCGCGCCCAACAATGCCTGATATGTCGCGGTTGGTGACTCTCTCGCTGCGCAGACAGAATAGTATGGAATCCGAGCGTGACCCAGCGCACCCGAAGGATCTATATGATTCTGCAATTGAGCATCTGAGCAATTCCCTCGAGCAACTGATGAAAGGCGGCGAGCCGAGGGTGTTTGCATTTTGTTGGAGTTTCCGTGTTCCAGAGCCGTTTTTGGACCTCATGACTTCGCACCAGCCTTTCGCGCTTGTCGTGCTGGCTCATTATGCTGTTATCTTGCATCATCTGCGGGATATGTGGTGGATGGGCGATTGGGGGACTAGGATTCTGAGGGAAATTGGGGATCTGCTGGAACCGGAATGGCGTGAGCTTATTAGCTGGCCTATTGATGCCACGGGGTGTTTTATTCCGGCATGAGGGTGGTGTGACTATTGCCCGTTCTTCGTCTTTTGGCGTGATTGTTCTGACCTTGCACGGTTTGCATTGCATTTCTAATGAGATACGAGAAGCGTGTAATTAGCGTAGACATTTGGATACACATATAGTTTGAAGTTTGAATGGAGAGTATCATTTTCAAATCTAAAGTGTAATAGAAAAAAAAGGGAAATCAAGCCTCGACCCAAGTAGACGCCGTTCCCCCGGTCCAAGGGTATAGTGAAGCATCTGATAGGACAAGGGGCAAAGATAAGAAATAAAAAAAAGCAAACACGCAAAACCTCGACTTTCGCCTGATAAGAGCAAAAGTCCTGAAAATAGTCTCCGCAGTTGAACACCACGTTCATCCTTTCTCCAGGACCATTCCCTTCAGCATCGCAACCATCAGAGTCAACCCAGAACCGAATATGAGCCCCTCAAAGCCCGACCCCGCATAGCAGAACAAGAACTAGCGCGATATGGCGCTAGACGATAACTGACTCCCACTCAAACAGGCAAAGGCGACCGAACCCTACCCAAGGAATAAGCTCAAGCAGAAGGCGACTCCTTCCGCAACTCCTGCCTCTCATGCTCAAGCTCCTTGACCCGATCCTTTGACTGAGTGCGCACACGCATAAGCTCAGCCTCCTGTTCTTGGATTTTCTTCTCGTGCTCTTCCTCCTCGGGCGTGGGGATGTAGGCATTTGCAACGCCGCCTATTAAGCGAACACAATGTGTTAGCCAGTGTCCATCCTATGTCTGGTCCATACCCATATCTTTTCCTGGGTATGATTTCATATGTGATTTTCTATTATGGATGGCAAAATCATACCTCGTCCAGTGTGGTGGGGAATCTGCTGTGCGCGCAACGGCGGCGACTCGACGTCTTGGCTTTCGCGCGCAATCTCGGGCCGGTCGGGGTCGTTGTGCACCATGTTTCCTGAGCCGCCGCGTCCGGTTGTGTAGACTTCTTGTTTGATTGTTGGGGTGAAGAGATCTTTTGGGGATGGTGCGCTTTGTTGGCGGCTTATGTTGCCTGTGGTGTTTTGTTAGTTATGGGCTGGTAAGTGGTGACTGAGGAACAAGGCGTGGTGTGGTGATGGGATGTGGGTTGGAACTGTGGGCGTCGGGTTGGAGAGCATTGCGATGGGCTTACCTGCGCCTCCGCGGCCATAGGAGATTTGTCGGCCTGACATTGTTGAATTTGAGGGCGGTAGATGGTCGACTCGAGGAGTGGCGGAGTGGGAGAGAGAGACAGCTGTGGGGAGAAAATCGCGCCCAGAAATGACGACAGAATTTTTTCGCCGGGTGGCTCTTCTTTATCTTTGTCCAATCTTGAGCTTTACATCTTCTTTTCTTCGCTTTCCTGCTTTGGAGATTTGAGGTCATAAATCTGCGCAGGGTTTCTTATCGAATCCGATCATCCCCGCATGCGTTCATGGTTGGAATGAGACTAACTGAATCTAGCGCCAAGCATCTACACTGAAAACCTTCGAAAGGAAATGGTACTATGTTCCGGGCTTATAAACCCCAATTATTTCCTATTTAATACAATGTTTATACTCAAATCTGCAGCGACCCCTAGACGGTATCGTACAGAAGTGGAAGAATAGAAGAAATGAGGCTATTAAATGGTGTAGCATATAGTAGAGGAGAGCAGTATGAGTTATCTACTCGAGAGTGAGCACTTGCTGTATTCTACTATCTCCTACCTACTGACCTTGATTTATACCTTCGACAAGTCACGTCTTGATCTCAAGATCAACTCAGATACACGAAATACGCGAGAAATCACGGTCTTGGCTGGTTATCTGGGCTGGACATTGTGATCCCAACTGGTTTTTACATGACGGGATGTAATCGGTATGCTTAATATGCATGGCGGCATTATGTTGTAAAAGGCCAGGCATAGTAGGCTAGCATTATCGTGATCTTTTGTCTATAATGAACCGATGAAAGAACTTGCACAGTATGCCTGCATGAATCCCGGAACGAAGCCATCAAGACCTCCACCGCTATATTCCTCACCTACCTGATGCGCAGAGGCAATTGTCTGCAGTACGCCGTGCGGACACATGACAACTTCATCTCCATGCAAATGAACATCAAGCCCTGTATCCATCTGTGCCACGGTCTGCAGCCTATATCGTTGGACCAATTTGTGCATCTCTGATTGTGAGGTATCGTTGATCCAAGCAGCGCCGAGGTCGTTGACGCCGGGGCCGACTTTCTTAGATTGGAGAGTGGGCGTCTTCCCACCTACTCTATCAGTGGCTTCAACCACCGCACGGGAGAGCCCGACTGCTTGGATAGCCAACGCTTCTCGGAGTCCACTCAGGCCCGCGCCGACGACCACAACGTCGACCGCCGTTGGCGAAGCGGAACTGGGGATGATATTGGAGGTAGAAGCCATCTTTTAGAACTGATAGAATGGTTGTTTGGATAGGATAGGGGTTGTTTGATGATCCAAAGAACGTTCAGTGACTAATAGTCGTTTTATAGAGTTCCGATGCAGAGTAGTATGGGCCGAATTAGGGTAAACAAGCGCTTGCGTGTCTACCTCCCTCAGTGGATGGGTAATCTGATCGACGATACGGAGCCCGCAGAAGCCATGATCTCATCAAACAAGTCGCTAGACGTAGTAGTTGAAGCCAACGGAGTATGCAATCGCATGGCCGTAGCTCGAAACACGCTAGTCCGTCAAAGGATAGGCGACGTTATCTGCAGGCCCACTCCGGCCATACTTCAACCTCTCATTTTCATGTCCCTCCTTTCTTCCCGTGAAGAGGTGCCTAATATGCAAGGATTGCTTGACTTCAAAACAGATGACCAAGGCCTATTCCGACCCTACAAAAGAACAAACGCCAAGAGGACAAAATCTGGATGCCTAAGCTGTCGCGCACGACACACCAAGTGCGACGAACACAAGCCAACCTGTGGGGGCTGCACACGCAACCATTTGCTTTGCTCCTGGACAAAGGCAAATGGGAGAACTACCCTGCGGTCTGTGTCTAGGCACGAGTGGTCTCCCCAAAAAGTCCCATCTCCACCGTGTCTCAACGTTCCATCACTGCGCTATGCACTTTCACATTGGCCTAGACTACGTGGACGATCGGTCGAGCAAAGCCTTCTTCACCATTATATCGAGAGGTCAGCTCAACGGCTCATAGTCAGAAATGGAATCAAAAACCCGTTTCTCACTTATGTTTTACCCTTGGCCCAGCAACATGATGCATTTCTTCATATTGTGTTTGCCATAAGTGCATCTCATCTTTCTTATGATGGTCGACAGTCCCATGTTTCTGCGTTGTCTCATTACGCGGTTGCGCTGAGGGAAGCCAAATATCTCATCACAGAACATGGGAACAACACTCGATTCAATCCTCTCGAACTCATGATACTACTTATTCTTCTGTGCAACTTTGAGGTGAGCTACCCATGCGCCCACGGTATGCTGTATTATGCCTTTTTGCGTTTTACAAAACAGACATGCAGGATATGCTTACTAACGACGGTTTTAGGTTATGGATGGCAATACAGATGGTGCAGTGATGCAGCACCTGCAGCCATGTTCAGCTCTGCTAGCTCAGCACAATCTTCTTGACCGAGTTGATTCAGATTGTGCGTGTTTCATTGCAGAGCAATATATGTTCTTGGGAGTGGTCAATGAATACCTGGGGCTGGGCCCTGTGGCCAACATTGTTCAACCAACGGCCACTGTCACTTCTGACTTTATGCAACTCCCCTATCAATCTTATTATCATGGGCGAAGCTCAGGGTGTGGATATGCTTTGTTCGAGATGGTTCCCCGGATTGCCCTATTTGCGACCAAACCAGGCAGGTCTTCTCCTCGGTATCTTGACCCCGAGATCAAGAAAGAATTCGATATGTTAGAGGAAGAAATATTACTCTGGGATATTCCTACATCATTGAATTCCACGACGGGGCCCGATAATGACGAGGTGACAGCAGCGCTCATCCAACAAGTGGCATTGCTTGTGACTCTCCAATGCGCTTTGAATGGCCCGGGGATGCCCGCACCTTGCATCCAGACCAAGATCGAAGCTTGTGTCTGCGAATCAAGGAAGCTCTTGAGGTCTATATCGCCATCAAGTGCGGCATGGGGAACCCTCCTGTGGCCCGCAATCCATATCGGATCGTGCATTACATCTCTGAAAGAGCAGAATGAACTTGTTTCGGCGATACTGAGTATGGAAAACAAGACCCACTGTTGTACCAGGCTAATGCAGTTCCTATCAAGCTTATGGGTGGCCTTGCGTGACGACGGAATGTATTATGGCCCTTATGGAATCCGGCCACTCATGGACAGAGAGGGGATCAAACTCAGCTTAGGGTGACTACGGAGAATATACTTCAATGCTTTCCCTACTCTGTCAAAGGGGATATATAAATTGGAATTGCCTTGTAAACTTTTTAAATGCATTGCGGTAAGATGAGCCCAATCAGCCGCGTTGCTCGGATTCCGCGGGTGCCGATGCTCTTGTGTTGACGTCGGTATGGAAGTGGGTCCGATAACATCGTTTATCCTCTTTAGGCATAAGGGCGTACTAATTGAGATGGTGGAATGAGGATCTTTGGCGATCACCCATGGTAGACTCCCGAGGTCCCGTGTTTCGTGGTTTTTTTCTCATCCCTGATCTCTCCAACACACCTGGGCAATCTTTGATGATATATCCGCAATGAGTGTGAAAAAGCACAATGTCGAACTATCAAGCGATATTGATTTTATCGAGACTCCTGCAGCTAAGCCCTCGGAATTTGAAACTGGAGAGGACTGCGGCATTGCTCTGACCAAGGTGAGTTCTATTTGTTCCATTGCCAGCTTCTCAAAAGCTTGCTAAATTTTTTCTTAGTCACCTGCCATTCACAATGGTCCATTGCCGGCCGATGGGGCTGGAAATGAGAGCTTCTCCAATCTCACATTGGCTGGCGCCCTCACTGGAGTTCCCGGCCTCCTGACCTTCTTCCTGGGTGGTGGGCTGAAGACCTTTGCTCTGCTCACCCTCATCTCGACTCTTCCTGTTCTGGTGGCCTTCTGGACCTGGACTTCCACCTACAGCCCACGCACCAATGACAAAGTCAAATTACCCGGCCGACCCATCGAGCATTACGTGACCTTCAAGCGCGAAGAGGACCGGTCGAAATGGCATGGGAAAAAGAAAATTCCCATGCAGACCTTCGCAGAAATGTACCTGGACGGCTTGGTGGATTTCAACGGCGACACACTCGACGTGATGGAATACCGGCACGATTGGGCGAATTTCGCATTCACCTGGGAGCTATTCAAGTTCATTGTCTTCACGTTCTTCATCGACGTCATCTTCCACACGAAGGCTCAAGATGATGAGCAGATCCGGCCCAACTACGATCGCGGCAACGACCATTACGCCTGGTTCCTCGGCCCTCGCATGATCTACACTTCGGGGATTATCTCAGACACGGAGAAGGAGGAAACACTGGAGGAAATGCAGGATAACAAGATGGCTGTCGTTTGCGAGAAGATAGGTCTCAAGGAAGGAGAAACAATGCTGGACATTGGCTGCGGTTGGGGAACCCTGGCCAAGTTCGCTAGTCTGAACTATGGCGCCAAAGTGACCGGGCTCACCATCGCGGAGAACCAAACTGCTTGGGGAAACGACGCTCTGCAAAAGGCGGGCATCTCCGATCAACAAAGCCGGATCCTGTGTATGGACTACCGTGATATCCCTCGCCAAAAATATGACAAGATCACACAGCTGGAAATGGGCGAGCATGTCGGCATCCGAAAACTCACTAAATTCTTCCGTCAGTGCTATGACATGCTTAACGATGATGGAGCCATGTATGTTCAACTCTCTGGACTGAGACAGGCATGGCAGTATGAGGATTTCATCTGGGGGTTGTACTTGAACAAATACATTTTCCGTGGCGCGGACGCTTCGACCCCTCTGTGGTATTATGTCAAATGTTTGGAACAAGCTGGATTCGAGGTCAAGGGGTGAGTCGTGATTCGGTGAATTTTTTGAAGTTGCTAAAGCTAACGATGGACAGAATTGATACTGTCGGTGTCCACTACTCCGGTACACTCTGGAGATGGTATCGTAACTGGGTTGGAAATGTCGAATCGATCAAGGCCAAATATGGACCGAGATGGTATAGGGTGAGTCTCTCTTCATATCAAGTTCTTTCTTTATGGTCGGATCTAATGCCCGGTAGATTTGGGAGCTGTTTCTCGCCTGGTCTGTCATCGCTTCTCGCGAAGGCTTCGCCACCTGCTACCAGATGGTGGTCGTCAAGAATCTGAACTCGACTCATCGCATCAATGGACTTTCTAGTCAGTTTGGCCTTGGTGGTGCCCTCGCATCGAGCAGGAAGGCGGGCAAGTCTCGTCTGCCTTGAAGGTGAGTGGTGGTATGGCAGATGGAATACTCATCATTAGATGTGCAGTGACAATATCCAGGCCAAATCCTGCGACCTTCCTGATGTTGCAGCTTCATTGGGCTGAAGAGAAATGACAGGTTTGATGCTCATACTGGCTTCTTCGGGCTCATTTTCTTCTCAAAAATTAAAAATTTTACAGCTCTCGATGTCACATAGCTTGCTATAGCAGCCATGAAAATATTTCATTTCATCTTCATCTCTCTTGTCCTTTGCAATCTAGTCGCGATATAACACGTAAGGGGAATCATGTCTTGAGGAAACGGAGTGTACAGACAGAGTCACTGAAGATATTCTGTAGCTTCGTGTGAATTCGCCAGCTCCGCAGCGGGGTCGGCGATCTTCCCCACGCCAAGTCAAGGAAGCCGAGCCGCGGCTGCTCTTTGATACTTGGCACTTGTAACCGAGAGCATATAAAAGGCTCAAAAGAAGTAATGTACTAACTTATTTATCTCACAGCCATCATGATCTTCGATCCTAGCGCAATCGACCTCCCACCTTCTTACGAGAAGGTTCAAACAACCGGACATGTCGTCGTCTCGCACTATCCCCATGGTGCACCGACAGCTACACCGGTAGTTGTTGTCACACTCAACCGGCCTGCCAATCAGAATGCCTTCACTGGGCAAATGGTACAAGACTTCGAGAAGCTATTCCCAATGTTCGACGTCGATGAGCGGGTGAAGGTCATTGTTTTGACAGGTGCTGGGAAGACATTCTGTGCTGGAGCCGATCTCGATATTGGCTTCGGCGGTGGTACAAAGAGAGAGGAGAGATGGGCGGATCATCGTGATGGGTAAGGAGCATCCTAATGATTGACAGATGAATGTGGCTAACAATCAATGTTCTAGTGGCGGACGAGTGGCGCTCGCTATTCACAGATGCCGCAAGCCTACTATTGCAGCTATGCAAGGCTCAGCCGTGGGTGTCGGCATGACTATGACTCTGCCAGCAATCATTCGGTGAGTAAATTGACCTCTACGGATTTTGCCACTATCATTAATATGCACATCCTCTAGAATCGCCTACGAGAAGGGCAAATATGGCTTTGTCTTCGCCCGCCGAGGTATCACGATGGAGTCATGCTCTTCATATTTCCTCCCTCGGCTGGTGGGCCACTCCAATGCCAGCTATCTAGTCAGCACGGGCGGCGTGTTTCCACCGACATCCAAGCACTTCGGCGATCTATTCAACGAGATTCTACCCGATCCGTCGCAAGTTCTACCTCGTGCTATCGAGCTGGCGACAGAGATTGCGGAGAATGTGAGCCCTAGTGCGTCATATCTGAATCGGGCATTGATGTGGCGCGACACTGGGTCTGCGGAGGCTGCTCATATTGTTGAGTCTCATGTTATTTATCATATGTTTGCTGCTCCGTACGTTATCCCCGTCCTGGAACAAGAACAGTTGATTTGGGCTTTGCTAACCTTTTACACAGGGATCAGAAAGAGGGTGTTACTGCTTTCTTTGAGAAGAGGAAGCCGAATTTCAAGGCCAATCTTGATGATAACCCGCCGCCTAATGTGCCTTGGTGGACTGAGGTTGATACTGGACGGAATCCCAAAGCTAAGGTTTCTAAGCTATAGTTAGATGGAGCTAGAAATTCATTCAAGACTAGTCATGTTCCTTTTGAAGGCAGTAACAGATATCATTGATGTACCAGCAACTGAAGTTGATTTTCCAGCCGTTGTTAAATGCAAAAAAAAGGAGATAGCGATTCAAAAGTAACCCGAATTCAACGGCGCTGTTAAGGCCATTCCCAGATATATTGCAATGCTCCAGGTACCAAGACCGCTAATGTATTGTGACAAAAAAAACACCAACCCGAACAAGAAAGAAAGTTGCCAGATTGGCTCGGGTGGACCTTGCAGGGACCCAATTATATTGACATGAACAAAAGGAGATGCTTCAAATGACAGAAAGGGGAGATTAATCAAGCAATGAAGTTGCGGCGCTTGCGGTTGTAAGCCCGTTGGTCCTTCAGCCACTGTCGGTATCCCTGCACACTACCAATCTTCTCGCCGTAGTAATCGGGAACGGGGTTGGCAATCGAGTTGGTCGATGGGTCAACACGGAAGCGACGAATGCGATCGAAGAACTCTTTCTCTTTCTGGAGATAGAACATAACACATTAGCAAACTCTCCAAAATCCCGTCCATCCCATCGCCTTGGGTTCACAATTACTCACCGTCGCAACGGAAGGCTTATATTTCCTGTATACCAATCCCCAGAGACCGTTTCCAACCATCGGCCCAAGCAACCATCCAATAGCACCACACGCAGCGGTCGCCAATCCGAGAACAACGAATGGGTCCAGGCCCATAACCTGCGCGCCAAGGGACTCCAAATCCTGAGCGGACAGAATCTGCACACCAGCCGTAGTCGAAAGAGCCGCAGTGGTAATGGATGAAGCAAGAGAATAACGGCGACGGGAAGCGCGGAGCTTGAAGAAGGAGTCCCAGTCGAGCTTGACTTCCTCGTTGCCGGTACCGTTACCAGAAGCAGTCGACTGTGCGCGCAGGCCAATGGGGCGGGTGGAGATGGTCTGGGTCTGTGGGCGGGTGTCCAGGGTCACGGGTGCCGCCATGGCTGGGCGAGCTGTTGTCGAGCTGAGGCGTGTGAGCTGCTTGGAGACTGTTCCGGAGGTGCGTTGGTTGAGCGGACGGAGGGCGCCGGCGAGCGAGGGCGCCGCGGGGTTCAGTCGGCTGAAGGTTATCGCTGTACGGACTGACATGCTGATGGGGGTTGGGTTCATTTTGAGGTTTGGTTGTTGGCCTTGCAATGGAGATGCTTGCCTTGCTGAAGAGAAGGAGAATTGGTGTGGAGACGGATTATGTCAGCGAATGGGCTCCGCAGTGACGAGACCGGTTTGTCGTTTACTCTAAGAAGATATCATGCAATTCAGTTGTGGATCTGTGTTAGAGCGTATAAAAATAATGGCTTTATCGAGTATAAGTGGCTCAATGAGTGTTGTACTCTATGAGATTTTCGCGAAAACAAGGGTTGACGGAAATATATATATTATATAGAGGGGTGATTCGATGCTCAAAGGTGCCGGCGAGCAAGTTCCAACCGGAAGATTAACTGGACAAATGCTCCTTCATGGAAAGAAACGTCTTAAAAAGTAGATTAAATTGCTCTGACTTCCGAAACATATGTTTAAGATGACTTAATTCCAAAACATATCCATGGATAGACGCTGATGATGCAACGAAATGCTCGACATGTCATATATCCAAAGCACCAAGAGGAATTTATACAAAAAGATCACTGAAGCCTTAGACCCAGCCCAGTGCGACGCACTCTAGTTGGTCTACCGTAAAGACACCCTCTACAGACCTTCCTTACGCTTGATGTCACCAGGACGGGACTCCGGCTTGAGAGGGCTACCAAACCCATTGACGCGCCCGAAGAGCCACTTGAGAGTTATGGTGCTGAAGGCCATCACAACAGCACTAAGAGTGAAAAGAGCAACGCGGCCAGACGGGGGCAAAGCCTCGAAGATGGGGTATGGGTACCTAAACGAGTCAGTAACGTCGGAAGAGGCCGGGAATACACATACCATCCATTGTAGGAAAAGCACTGCTCAATCCAGAACCAGTAGCCAAGGGCTATGGTACCAGACAGTCCCAGTGCAGGGAATATGCTGATGGTCCAAGGTGGTGAGAGGAGCAGTAGGTCAATCAACAGCACCACTGAAGGAACTGCGTGAAAACCGATGTCTAGAGCAGAAGTCAGGGAAATTTCAAAGAACGCGAATGTAGTTGGCTAGCGTACCGGCATGCAGAGGTATCACTACCCACTCGGGAATCACGAGACGCTCATCGATCTATGAAATAGGTTAGACGAGAATGTCAAAATCCGGGGTCAAACTTACCAAGCGAAGGCCCCAGTACAGGACACTAATCAAGACCTCCAGTGGGGCACTGCACACCGAGAGGAGATTCTTGACGAGAAACAGTCGCCGAGACAAGGTGACATCCGCCAGTAAGGCAACAGCAAACGTAACGGTCGACAGGGAAAGACCAATCACGGTCAGATATTGGAAATGCCACCCATAGGCCTGGTTACTGGAACGGGTTAGCAGATCGTCTTGTATCAGATTAAATGATGCCGAAAACCTACGCTTGATTGGGATTTTCATGCATGCTTTCCCGGAATGTCAGCGTGACCCTATAGGGGTAAATCTCGGAAAGGGACCCATACTATTTGAAAGACCATAGAAAGCTCGAGAGACCGGCCAGCTGAAGCGCAACCGGTCAGTCAGTGAACCCCGAAATCACCGGTGAAAGGACCATGGGTGCTGCTTACATGGACCAAGGCTGACAGGCCACGAGAGGGACTGGGCATCCGCTGAAGCGGGTGCCTCTTGATGAGGTAGTTTGCCATTTGGAGGAAGTGTTGTAGGCTACGAGTGAACACTTTCGGTTTAGCCCGCGAGGTCCTAGAAACCCAACTCTCCGAGGCGATCAAAGCGTTAGGGCAAGGAACAGGAACAGGAAGCTATGACGTTTAGGGCACGTGAGTTCGGACTATCTCGGTCGGGAAAAACCGGTATCCCGCGGTATGCCGGTCCGGGGGAGATGATCCGGATGTGTCAGCGGTCTTATCTCCTTCCCCACACTTTCCATATCTCTTAACATCCTGGCATTGGAAATTATTTGTGTGGCTCTGTGTATTCTTTCTTTCTTCAATTTCCTCCTTGTCTGTGGTCTTCAGGATCGTGGGTTATTGCTATTAACTGCTGAGTTGCACCCTTGACCAATTGAGCCATTGCCGCCGGGGCAGTGGGATCTCGAACTCTTTCTGGCACATCTCCCTCCCACACCTCGATGTGCTTGTATACTAGGTGTGGGTGTCTGGTCGATTATCGCTTCGTCGCAACTTGGGGCCAAAGAGGATCTAAACGGAGAAAGCGCGAGAGTTCAGACGTGCTTCATTCGTGAAGAGTCCCGCCCTACACTGCCGACTTGAAGTGTTCAAGCTGTATGGCGGCTGGAGAGCATATAGTAAATTCCCACTGTGCTTCTCTCAAGATAGATTCTCGACCAGACGCCCTCTAACCTGCGATGCCGCGTCCCCGGAGGCCTGGTGCGCCAGAGCCCAAGCGTCGAAGTCGCAAAGGATGCTGGTGAGTTCTTGAACACATTCTCAAGTCTTCGCAGCACTGACGGATTATTACTAGGCCATGCAAAGCTCGCAAAGTGAAATGGTAATTCTCCGGTTTGCTCACATGCCGTAGATCTGGCTAACATTGCTACTTCCTCTGCAGTGGCGAAGAGAAACCGGCGTGTCTCAACTGTCAGCGACAGGGCGAATCCTGTGATTATAGCGTCCGGCTGAACTGGGGAGGAAGAACGAAACGGACATCGATCGACTCGCCAAATTCTCAATGCAGTGGGTATGGCGGCGCCGTATTTGGTATTTCGGACTCGTTCACAATCAACAGCATGAGCCCGGGGTCAATTTCAACTCCATCCTCGGTCCCAGCACCGACCAGCAACAATTCTGGAGATGGGTTCATCACTTCTCACCCTGGGGACCTGACATCCCCGGGCGCCATTTCGCCCAGTACACCGGCGCCAGGCATATTTGGCTCCCCAAAACCCGGATCGGGTTCTGAAAGGGTTACATCCCCGAATCAACTCGATGTCCAATTTGCTTCTACATGGGCAGAGCATTCTCCTCCGATGACGACATCGGTATCCTCCAGGGGTTTGTCACAATATCCATTCGGACAGCAGACTTTTGATGGTCTGTCGTTTCCAGCTTCAGCAGATCATGGATCTGGCTTGAGGTCTCTCTCTGCGTTCGCCTTCCACACGAGCCCAGTCTCGCAGCCAGTTTCATTCTTGCGTCACTCTGTGGACGTGTCCAATCATCAGCCAGAGGCATTCATGTTTCACAATAATGATGAAGGGAAGCTTGTCCAAGGTGGCCAGGAGTCAGTCGATGACCATGATGTAGACCTCACTGGGAGCATGAAGAGCGGAACTTCGCGTAGTCCACATGAGACGGGGGCCTTATCTTCCTTGCTGTTTGATTCGCACAAAGCGTCAATTGCAGGAAGCAATACGACCTCGTCCCCGAAACTTGGTGAAATGCCTATGACTATGGGCTCAACACACGACTATCACGATGACTTGAGCCGTGATACCCACAATTCGATTGAAAACGCCAATCAAACCGACCAAGCCTCCCGCGATTCGACAATGGCGCAGAACAAATGGCAGACATATCTCAACAGCGTGACCGACAACTATGGCTTAGACTCTGGGCGTCCTGATCAAGACTTGATGTTTAATAACGACCACGCAGCCATAGATATCAACTACGCGCTGGATTTGATCAGTTCGCGGTGGCAAGACCAGGAATTCTCCAAAGCATCACCCCCCCAACCGACGGTCGATACACAGACACAGTTCTGTAGCGGTTACTATGCGTCCTCAGTGCCGATCAACATCCCGAGATATTTGTCTCCCCTTCCGTCGTCGCTGTTGGAGAACCCTATCAACTTGATGTACTTTCATCACTTCCTCAACCATACTGCGCGAATGCTGGTCCCACATAGCTGTGATAACAATCCGTTCATATCGGTTCTGCCGTCAAGTAAGTTTTAATTTCATTTCATTTCATTTGGGGTACTGACCAGTCAGTGGCAATTGGTGATTCCAATCTCCTCAACTTGCTTCTAGCATATTCTGCCAGTCACCGTGCCCGATACCTAGGACATCCAGAGCCAGCTAACCGAATTGCGCACTGGGTTAGCAAAGTATTCCCAACATTGCGGGTGGCGTTGGAATCTTCAAGCGAAGACATAACCGACAGTCATTTGGCTGCTGCTATCATGCTGTTATCGCTGAAAATTGTGTCACCAGGAACATTCGAGGTTCCCATCACATGGAAAAGCCACCTCAAGCTTGCCCGCGATTTGTTCCTTGCACGAAGCGAGAGAATGGCACAACCAGGAAACAGAATCGGGGCCTTCTTTGCCCGTTGGCTAGGATATCTAGATACTATGGGAGCATTATCCTGTCGCCAAGCCGGTCCCCCGTTGATGATATACAACTCAATCCTGACGGCCTGCTCACCCGATAACCACGATGAATTCATTGTTGACTGTTTCACGGGGTTCACACCTCGCACAGGAGTGTTCCTCATTCGTCTCGCTCGTCTGGTCCAAGAATGCGATAATCAACGTTTCGATGAGATGGGACACTTCCAGCATGACTGGCATGCATCTGCAGACGTGGTGTTAGAAGCACAAGCAGTTCTAGGCGAAATTGATGGGCTAAGTGAGCACGCACATACGAACCCCGATCACCATCAGGGCATTGAATCGTCAGACATGATGGCCATTGAAGAAGCATTCCGGTTTGCTGGACTTTTGCATCTCCACCGGCGTGTCCTTGGATCTCCACCAGACTCTTTTCCCGTGAAGGAGGTCTTGCGTAAGCTCATCGATGCCCTGTCACGGATGCGCCCTGGCGCTGCCACTGAGGTCTGTTCCTTGTTCCCATTGTTCACTGCTGGCTGCGAATCCCGAGATGCGCCACAGCGTTCTAAGCTCTTGGATCGGTTCTTTGTTCTGGAGAGCTCAGGTATGAAGCAGGTATGTTTCCATTCTTTGTCGTTTTCTGGATGAGCAGCACTAATACAAGGCCTATAGATCCAAAATGCGCGTCAATTGATGCAACACTGTTGGGAGCGGAATTTGCCTTGGATCGCCCTGGCTGGAGGACAATTCTTGGGTTAGCTTAGGTATTCATGTAGTCACAACGTCGTGCATTCTTATATGTATGCTTGTGCTAGTGCGGCTACGATTTCGCATCGTGCGCTCAGCGGCTCTTTACATCTTTCCTGGATACCTGTCAGTTTCAATGCGCATTTTGGTCATTTTCAAATCGTATCTTCCTTATGATTACTGCACTCGCAGCCGTTCAAAATCTAACAAGTTGGGACGTGTTGGCTTAAATAGCAGGTCAATTCCACATTACGTTAGGGGTTTAGAATTCTCAACGGTATGCGTCTTTGTATGTATAGTTTCTGTCCAAGCACGGCTTCGGATCATGCTCTGGACATACCGGGGTGGACTTGCCCTAACTCCATTTCCCCGCGCTTGGATCCCCAGAATATCGGCCATCTGTCCGAGATACCCCAATAAAGAGACTTCCCTACCACGGTCAGCATACAGTAGAACACCCCGCTCGTATTCATCTTTCCACTCATAAGCTTCCCCCCACGCCGATCCTACCCCAAACATCCCCAACCTCCGCCGATCATTCCGATGATTGATTCCAAACTATTGCAACCCCTACACGCGGCCAGCAACACCAGTCATCATGATTGGTCCAAGGGGGGTGAAATCCATGCATGGCCATTGAATTTATAAGCTGAGCTTGATTCCCCTCTCTTTAGCTTAGCAAGAACCTAGTCCCTGTTCGTTCTGCACCCCGGGGATTTTCTTCCTCTCGTCTAACATAGTGCGCGCAGCAAACCGGAATTACTGTCGCTCTTTGGTAGCTTCCCCCTGTTGACCGGCGACATCCTGCATAATGGCGCTTTCGAATGATGAAAAACCAGCTCTGGATACTGCGTCTCGCGCCTCGGATCTAGAGAAGGATCCTGACATGAAGGTCGCGGTCGGGTTCGAGGATCCTGATGAAGGGCTGAGCGAGGAGGAAAGGGCAAAGATTGTTTGTGATCCCTTTCTTCGATGTTTTGTACCCATGCATGCATAGATTGTGTGGCTTGTTGCCGGTCTGTTACTGACATGCGCAAACACTATAGGATCGCAAGTTACTTTGGAAGCTCGATCTTCGATTGGTGCCATGGCTCAGTCTGCTATATCTTGTTTCATTCCTTGATCGGTACGAAGTCAACCATGAAATATGCTTCGCTCGCTCGAGAGGGTTCCGAACTGACTTGTACAAAGAACAAATATTGGAAATGCGAAAATCGTCGGCCTCCAAAAAGATCTAGGGATGACGAACGCCCAATACAATGCGTCACTCACCATCTTCTTCGTTTCATACTCTGTCTTCGAGCCCTTGACCAATGTGCTCCTCAAGCGACTGAGGCCAAGCATTTTCATCCCTCTGATAATGATGGCATGGGTGTGTCGATTAGCCCCTACTTTCTATTCCAAAAAGCCAATTCTAACACCACCTAACCAGGGAATCTGCATGACATGTATGGGCTTGGTCAAGAACTACGCCGGCCTAATGGCCGTCCGCTGGTTCCTAGGCCTATCAGAAGCAGGTCTATTCCCCGGCGTAGGCTACTTCCTCTCCTGCTGGTACAAGCGATCCGAATTCGGCGTTCGAATGGCAATCTTCTTCTCGGCCGCCGCACTAGCAGGCTCATTCGGCGGTTTGCTCGCTGCAGCCATTGCCAAGATGGATGGTGTAGGCGGCAAACCCGGGTGGTCATGGATTTTCATCTTGGAAGGACTGGTGACGTTCTTGATTGGCATTGCGTCGTTCTGGTGTGTCTATGACTTCCCAGACCAGGCGAAATTCTTGTCGGATGTTGATCGGAAGCGGGTGCTGAGGAGGTTGGCGCTTGATCAGCAGTCTAGCGCTGAGCATGAGGAGTTTAAGATGGATTACTTTTGGGCCAGTGTTAAGGATTGGAAGACTTATACTGGGGCTATTATCTATATGGGGGCTGATGGGTCTCTTTATGCGTTTTCGCTTTTCGTGCCGACTATTATTAGTGAACTTGTGAGTTTGGTCTTGGGTTTGGTAACAATCTGTGTGCTAACTTTGTCTTGCAGGGTAAATATTTGAATCCCAGATACGGGAGCGTTGTGGTTGAATGCTAATTTGTCTCGTGTCTAGGCTATAGTTCGATCCATGCTCAGCTGCTCAGTGTGCCACCGTACGCCGCTGCAGCAGTTTTGACCGTCGCTGTTGGTTTCATTGCCGACCGAACGCGCCAACGTGGTCTCTGCAACATCTGCGTCTCCTTCCTCGGCATGATTGGCTTCTCCATGCTCCTCGGCTGCAAATCCGCCGGCGGACGATATGCGGGGACATTCTTAGGCGCCATGGGCATTTACCCAGCCATTGCGAATACGATTTCGTGGGCTAGTAACAATACCGAAGGTGAGATCGCTCTCTGGAAGCATGGGCCAAGCTGGACTAACATCCAATTCCATTCTAGGTGTATACAAACGAGGTGTTTCCCTCGGCTTCATCATCGGCTGGGGTAATCTGAACGGAATTGTCTCCTCCAACATCTACCGCGACAACGACAAGCCGACATACTATCCCGGTCACGGAGTCGTGCTCGGCTACCTCGTCCTGTTCTTGTTCGGCGGTTCTGTGGTGCAGTATTTCCTACTGCGACGCGAAAATGCCAAGCGCAGACGCGGTGAGCGTGATCAGTCTATTGAAGGCTTGACTCCGAATCAGATCGAGTTGCTGGGAGACAAGCGGCCGGACTTTATATATACCCTTTGAAATGGCAGTGTCGCAGTGGAGTTGACGAGATATGAATTGAACGTCGTCATCTATCGCGTAACCGTCGCATGGTATAATAAAACAAATAGTCGTAGCTCAAACCCCCCTCACATACTGATTGACAATATCCTGCCCCTTTTTCGGCCCGCGGACAACATGCCGACTGGCCCAACTAACAACAACCCCAGACTCAGGCTCAATCCTGAACGCATAAGCAGTGCGATACATATCATTAATACAAAGATGATTGCCGCGCGCATTCAATACAGTCGTCTCATTCCCAGAGCCCGTAGCCAACACCGCCGATGGAACGGGCGGAGCAACAAACTCGCCGGGATCATTCTGCGCGTCGGACTTGACCTCCGCTGAATCCAGTAGCCCAGATTCGGAGTCGAATTCGAAGTCGTGGAATAGGTAGTCCGCTTCTTCGGGGCCTGGCGCAACTTTCACGAACCAGACGCTTACGCGCCCGGTTTCGGGCCTTAGGCGCCAGATGTATTTCTTTGTCCAGCGAAGACCGGGTTGGGATGCGCCTATGCTGATTGTGCTTGGGATTTCGCCTTCTTCGCAATAGAGCCAGTCTTGGTCGGTTGTGGTGGTGTTGGTGGGGGGTTGGGGGGTGAAGCTTGCTGTGCCGCGTAGCTCGCCGTTTAGGTCCAGGGGGTTCTCGCTTCGGAGGGTGCGAATTAGAGTCCAGCGCGTATTGCTGAGAGAGGTTATGAGGGTTGTGAGCAGCTGGCGAGAAGGTAATGGAGGCATTTTGGTGTAGGTTTTGGGTAAGAATTGGAGATGGGAAGAGTGCGGGGAGGGAAATGTCAAGGCTTAAATGCTCCGCTCGCGTATCTCGGGGCAATTAGAGTCAACTGGCTATCAATATATCGCACTTACCCGTACCCAACACTGAGATCTGGCTAATGTTCAATATCCACAGAAAAATCACAGGATCGCTATCTTAGTACACACTTCAGATAAATGTCCAGAAAATACTTCCAAAGGAGCAGACATATAACCTGATCTCATTGCTTTGCATGGCCTTGAAGCAAAATGCAACAACAAAAAATGACAATAGGTTACATGAAGCTGAGGGCAAATCTGTTCAAATAACTTCGTTCTGGCGCGTCTAGCCAGTCCATGCAGGTACGAACTCTAGCCTGAGTTGATCCACTGTTATCATTCCGTCTAGAAACTGGTTGATTATTACTCGACCTCAAATGAATGATATGTGTTCGTAACTTGAATTAGCCACTGTATTCCGCAGAATGATGAATAACCCATGGAAATGAGGGACCCATGGGGTGGACCCCCTTCCGAGGGCGATTACTCAACTGCCCGGCTGTTTAGCTAACTCCGGTCTTGGAATTACGACATTGATCTAGAATCTATATAAGCCTACTTGAAAAAATCTGTTCATACTTCAAAGTAATGGTCTCGCCGGCGGTCAATGTCGGAAAGAAGATTTCTCTTCCGTGTGTATGCTGAAGCGCATTGGGAGTCTCGAAGCTGACATGTAACGGCGTATTACAGCATTGCCAGCAGAGGTTCTTAGGTCCCAAGGATCTGGGGAAGCTCGGGCTGATGAATAAACTAAATTGATAGGTCTTAATAAGCCTCTTGGGGCGTTTTAACTACTTTTATCAACGAACAGTAGATCCACTTGGTCACATCAGCCGGTCCAGCACAGTCCACGAAATCATGAAAGAAAAACAGAATGCAGACAGGGTGCGAAAGAAAGAGCGTCCTCGAAAGCCTGACAGCCAACAAGTTCTAGAGGTGGGCGACATGTAAAGAAAAAATATATTCGATGACTGATCCCCATTAGAGGCGCCGCGAACAGCTACGTACGGCACAGAAAGCGTATCGCACGCGAAAAGAGAACACCATTACCAACCTGCAGGATCGTGTCCAAGAGCTTGAGGGCGGCATTGAGCAGCTCAGCCAGTCCTTTCTCACCTTCAGTAATCTCCTTTTGGAAACTGGTCTGCTTAGGAATCGTTCGCACGTCACCTCAGCCCTCCGCAAAATAACCCAGCAACAACTTTCGCTTGCTGAGACAGGATGTGCAAGTCCTCACGAACTGAATGTCGTCAACGCTGTTGATGCCACTTCATCCACTGCCACTGGCAACGACGAAAGACGCAGTGGTAATCGCGCAAGGGTGTCGTCAAATGAAAGAGCTCCTAGCGGACTCTCATCAATCCCGATGGAATGGCCTGAGCTGATGCCCTTATACACACAATCATCCCTTTATCAAGGCCAACCGACAACCCCAATCAGTGTTGCCATGGCTCCGCTCGCTAAGGAGTCACCCATTCCGCTATCATCATTACCGAGTCACCCCCCAGCCATTGATCTCGCTAGCTCGATCGAAGAGCAGTGGACTTTTTCACAATATCTAATAAAAATGTGCTGTCAGAATGGGTATCATCTCCTTGTCAACACTCCGAACGACTTCGTGAAGATTCAAGAAGTTTTCGGGCCGTCCGTGCCTCTAGCTGAGCGCAATAATCTCATTTCTTGTTTCCATGCTGGAATGCATGACAAAACTGGAGACCTCATTGATCTCATGGCCACTGTACTTACCCCGTTGCGTTCCAAGAGAGAAGATTATGCATCGGAAGAACTTGCAACTCAGACTGAGGAATTGGAACCGGCCGTCGCATCCGAGGCCGGCGGATGGCTAGATGCCAGTGGTGTACAGAAATTCCTCAGCGAGAGGGGATTTTTCACCCAGGAGAATGGCCTCCCTTTGTCTCGCTCAAACCTCATTTCGTCGCTTCACGTTGCGGCCCTTGTTCAGTGTGAGTATCTGGCGAGGCATACATTGGCTTCAGAATACTAATGAATATAGACCTCGCTACTGAGTGCATTTGCTTCGGCCATGGTCCGGCGTTTCAACGCCAGACTGTTGAGGCTGCATTGTGCCTCGCAGGAAAACCGTGATTTTCTTGTACCCTCTGCGTGATCTTCGAAATAGTTTGTTCTTAAGCCGACGGGCTCTATAACGCTTTTACAAGTATCCCTCATCATTGAGTAACTCATCATTAAAGATTTTGCGGCTGTGAACACTCTCGGCTGCCGAAAATCTCGGTTTTGCGTTTATCCTCGCCAAGAAACCAGCCTCTCCTCGGGAAGGCTATAATGGCCATCACAACCGGCGGGTAGGTTTGACGAGAGGCAAATTCAATGGCGAGAGCATGGTCAACCCCACCCGGTGAGCAGCTACACAGTGCAGCACTTGTCAGCCCAAATTGCTTTGGTGAAAAGGGAAATGTAGGAGAAAACTCATTTTGCAACTAACGCAGTGATTAAAATGGGGCGGTTGGATGAGGATGCCATACTGAGTGAACCTTGAATGGTATAGCACAAATGCTAGATGATCCTGAAGCGAGATTGAAGGGAGTCTGGAGTATCCAAGTTTGAGTGGAAAATTGCTTCGTGGATCACTGGTCACTCATCTACAATAAAATTAGTTACTGACACGTGTTGACTTATACTACATCGTAAATCTTTCGTCTTAGATCAAAGCTAAGTTATTGTTAGTCGTGTTGTGTACATCAGAATGCGGTGGTAATCAATTTGCCGCTGACGTATCGATTGGCCGTGTTAATTACTGAGCATCGCCATAATTAGGTTACTCTCTTCGCAGCCCCCATGGGCAATTATTTGAAATGAATAATCTACGCCCTTTCCGAGATCCTCCCTCTCCACCTGAAAGTATGGCAGATCGCCAAAAGCAACTTTAACATTTTGTGTAGAGACTCACTAATGAAACCAACCTTCTCTAATAAAAGAATTGCACGATGCATTGTATTCAGACCCATTAGATATCAACGACTGAATAAATAGCTTTGTGTAACGATAGTGTTGAGTGGCTTGTACGAGCCAAGTGGCTGAATAAACTAGCCTCAGAGGCTCAAGCATGCGAGTATAAAATGCTCCAAAAAGTTGAGCAGTGGAGCTTCTCTGGATTGGTTATGTTGATCCCCGTGGGAGATTTCATGGAGGAGAGTATTATCGGAATCGTCGGAGTCATCAGAATGACGAGTCACGAGGAGTCTCTAAAATGAGTGATTTCAGACTGTCCCTGAACGGACGAAAAGCCTGAGTGATTTGGGTTGCGTTGTAGTGAGTGGGTGGTGTGAAGATTCGCGTTCTACAGGATATATGGGGTCGTATATATGCAAAGGATTGTAGGTGCTGAGAACACTCTAAAGCTGGCTGGAGGTCTCACAGCCAAGATGCCTTTTTTCAACCCTCATGTGCCGTAGGGTCAGTTTTCTTGGCAACTCAAGCACCGATCTGAATGACGGACTCTTAGTGAACAGGTTAACAAGACTACATCAGGCAAAATATACAATACATACGTATTAAAGAGGCAGATTAAACCGCTCTGCAGTTGCCTCGACGGTGAAAGTCTTTTCAATAAGGGTAGACGAAAACGAAGATGGGCCCCTGTGAACCTTGTGGAGGAAAAAGCTCGTGAACTGTAATGCATGTCTAACTTGCAGTGGCAAGATGCTAAGGCTTGATACTACGCGAGAGAGGGAGAGAGAGCAACACCTGGATGTGGGGACACTTCAGGCGCGCAACGGGAGTGTCATCAGCGGCATGCCAGGGTAGGTCCAAGCACATAAATCGCAGCCATTGACGCGCACCGCAAGAGCCCATAAGTAGATTATGGTCCAATAATCCAGACAGAACTTTGCCTTAATTGCACTATTGCGTTAGCGTACATTAGATATACTTGAACAAGGAGCACTATGAAAAGCGTTAGATGAGGATCTAGACGACGCGCCAGCTAACGAATTAAACGGGCACCGAGGCTTCTTGTTTTTGCATCAATGCCGCCGCTCTCTTCAAATCTTCAACCCCCTTGAGCACATTCTTTGGCTGCCCATCATAGTGGACCTTACGCATCCAGTCGCCCAAAGTCTTGATTCGGCCAGGATGAATTCTATCCAGAAGAGCCATATCTCTGCGTTCGGCGCGACCTTCGCCCCAGTACCTCCACCAAGCCGAGAAATTTTCGCGCCACGTCATGGTCGATTCGTCCCTGACGGCGTTTGGTCCGGCGGCAAAATTCGCCGGAGCGTTCGGAAAAGGCTCGACAGAAGGCAGGTATTCATCAAGAGGTAGATACTTGTGCATTCCTTTCTTTCCCGTCACTTCAGTAAAGACAGTTGCTATATCCGCGAAACTGACTTCATCCGTCGTGACTTTCAGATTCATTCCGGCAGACTTCTGAGGGTTGTCGAACAGCCAAAGAGAATAAGGTCCAATATCCTCAAGAGCTATCAGAGGTATTTTCCCAGATTCTGTGCCGGAAAAGTTCATTAGTCACTTACTGGTCGAGCCAAGTTAACGTATTGGAGAGGTCCAGAGACATACTTGCTGGATTGGCCCAGACAAACGACCCATCAGGTTGCTGAGTGGGGACAAACATGCCATCCCAAAGCATGTTCATATAAGGCCCAGTAGTAAGGATCGAGCTTTTCATCCCTTCCTGTCCTTGAGCTAGAATATACTCTGCAACTCTGCCCTTGGCATCATTGTGTCCCCAGTGGTATTTCTCATCCCAGTTAGCATGCTTAAGAGCGAAGTCCGCGCAGGCATAGACGTAATGCTTCACCCCTTGATGCCTTGCTATTTCATAAGCTCGGCAGCCATAGAACAGCTCATTCTTCTCTCCAAGGGTAAAGCCGTCGGTATTGACCCACGCCCCGTAAACACCTTGAAATGCTCGATGCAAATCTTCCTGGTTGTCTTGTCTGCCTTCAACCAGGGTCACGTTAGGAAGCCTTGCGATTTCTTGCGCACGAGCAGATTTTGCATCTCGAGTCAGCACTCGGACGGCAAAGTATTTGCTCGAGGAGAGAGCTATATGCCAAGGTTAATTATTGGGGAAGAACAGGGAAGAGAGGTAAAGTTAACGCACATTTAACGACCGGCAGGCCTTGCGCGCCAGTACCGCCGATAACTAGAACTGCTCGCATCTTTTGATAACTTCTGGCATATACTCGTTGCTGGATAGGTCGTAATTGCAAGAATGTATAGTAACTCGAAAACCTAGGAAGTACTCACTTTATACAGTTGCTTATTCCAAAAAAAATTGGTTCAGCCCATGGTTACTGACTGATTCACGGAAATGGACCGTGGTAGTGCCGTATCTACAGCCGCGAAATAAAGTTTTGCCAGCTCGATTATTGTTTGATCCGGCCAACTAGATTAGTTCAATGCGTCATTTCGATATGCGTGTGACGCCAGATGCTAGATGATGTATGCTCCCTTTTTTTCTTCATGAGAAATTTACCGTCGGATTGATTATTAACTATCCCGCCACTAAGCAATTAACTAATTTAGCTATCAATCTCCAAACAATGGACCCACTACAGTACCAAATTCAATATACTGATTTAATAATCAACCCGACGCTACAGAGTAGTTACATAGTCAATAGCTATTACGTTGACTCAAGAGACCGAATGACGGAGGTGTTAGTAATCCTACACGCGTTCGTAACGTAGTTCACCGGTCCCACTAATTCACTATTCGCTGGACCAGCTGACTCCCATACTGTCTATATATATGAGACTTTCGTATCGCACCGGAGAGTATGATCACCGTCATATATTGAACTATTTTACTCTAGCATCATAACGCGGGTACTACAACACATCTGCTCTTTTATTGTACGATCCATGATGGCAAAGTGGAAGCATCTTCTTGATAATATTCCCGCGGATTTCCCCGAAGACAAGGCCGTCTTTATGCTTAATCTTCTCCGATTCTACGACCAAGCACAGTATCCGAAAGGAAGCAAACACTCCTCATGCAGCGGCCAGGAAGCCTGGGTTGTGAGATACGTGACAGAATTCCGAAGACTCGCAACCGAGGCCGGCGGCTTCGAATTGGCCTACCTTGGCTTACCCGCCTCAAAGATTGTTGGTGAAGACAGTGAAAATTGGGACGCGGTCGTGTTGGTCAAATATCCGAACATTGAGACCTTCCGCAAGACACTCGGCAGCGACGACTACGCAGCAACCGCGGCCGAACATCGTGACGCCGCGCTACAGGACTGGAAGTTGATTGCCTCGACCCAAGTCATCATTCAAGATTAAAGGCGGCTGCGACGAATATTGGGACTCCCAGAGAGAGAGGTGCAAGAAGTGTAGAGTCATACTCCTCCGTCGATACTTATCATGGCTTGAAAGCTTTCATCTTTTTCAATTCCGTTTATTCATTTGTTTTATATCTTCGTTGTCGTTTAACAAATAGCAGATATGTCGCAATATCCGCTACCTTAGCGTCCACACTTCTCAGAAACCTACTGAACGAGTTGGTTTTACCACAATGATTAGCAATATGGAGTCCGTACGTTCAATTTCTAAAATATATAATATTGTTTCTGTCGAAAAGAATTGCTTGGAAGAGCATTGCCAGTTCTAGTGTGCTTCCGGCCTGCTCCAGGTCTGCTCTAGTTCTCCGGAAGCATCTGCCGCGTAGTCTCTATCTACGAGATAAATATAATTTCAAGCTTCGAACCCCGGCTATCACTATTATATGGAGAACCTAGCTGTACAGCTCAGGGAAACATATGGATCTACGGTCACCGTATAGACTCCTTCCAGACGTGGGTCTTGCACCTGAAGTGTCTGATTATAATTCACCCAATACAGTTTTTGTTAGGTTTGACGTCTGATCCAGTTCAGTCTGGAGCGCCTTACGGGAAGTGGAGAGCCATCGAGGCTACAATAGGCTCTTACATACTCAGGTGCGAGTGTCTGTATTTGCGTTCAAAGGGCGTAAATTTGTTCCCTGGGCCAGACTGGCCAAGACGACAAGTGCGGCGCGAGAAGAGATAGCGGTTTGTTTCAGACAACGCGGATTGCCTCACTCGTCGTCTCATTGCCAAGCAGTAAGCTAAATTAAGAATTATGAGCGGTCGACTTAGATCGTCTCAGCTGTCACTCCCTTAATCCGGTCACGTCAAGGACGACAGTTAACCCACGGATCAACGTCACACAGATCAAGGATGGCCTGTATGTTGGTTCATTCGATGCTCACGAAGCGAGACTGGGTACGATCGACCTCGGCTAGAACAGTCTTGGTCGAAAAAAGGTGCGTACCGCTCGCCGGGCGACGGGTGGGTAGTTCAGGGATAGCGAAGCAACTCTTCTTTCTAGGTACTCTCGGACGACTGCATGCTCACTACACCGGATCAACTGCTTCAGACATGTTCGAATCGCGGGTTGCTATACATAGTTGAGATCATCTACGGTACAACGACACCTTCCGCTCACGATGATGCCGCAGCGAGCGCAAGAATAATACGACCCACAGGGTAGTATCCTCCTATAAAATTCACCATCAGTAGGCTGCAGCCCAATTGATCCGAAGTTATAATTATCTGAAGACCTGACCGACATGCTTCCCTAAATTATGTGTCGGCCTCATTCACCATGCCAGCGCTGGCCAGGTAGTGAGCATAAATCATTATCTCAAAGAATGTTGACCGCATCGTGTGTCCGAGGGAGGTCACGGCCATTCACGCTGTGATGGTCGGCTATGCGGCTAGCCTGACCTGACGGTTGACTCAATGACGCATGGACACTGCCTTCAAATTATTTAGTTCGAACTAGTTCACTGCATAGATCATTATTCATTCCGCCGACGGGAGAATAGTGATCAATCTTGACGATCTAGCTTTAACAAGGTACGGAATCCACCGGGAAGAATTAATAAACATATAGAGGTGGCGAAATCAACTTTTTACCTTGGATTACCAAGTCTAGATTCTCATGCGGAGTGTGGGACGCGCCCTTCTCCAACCGAGGAAAGTGGTTAATAATTGGCGTCCTGCTTGATCATAAGTAGCTAGGTAAACCCTTCCTCCTAGCCAGGTAGAGAAACATCTAGTTATCATCAATTTACTTTTCTTGTCGAACAGTCTTATCTTTTGATCATGGCTAGCCTTGGCACTGACGCTCAATCTTATGAAGGGTTTGTGGAGAACGGCGGTGTCCGGGTTCATTTTCGCACAGCTGGTCAAGGCCCTCTACTGCTTCTGCTCCACGGCTTTCCCGACAATGGAGAAACGTTTAAGGCGCAGGTGGCGGAATTTTCAAAGAAATATACAGTTGTTTGCCCGACCTTACGCGGATTTCCCCCTAGCAGTGTGCCAGATGACGTGGACGCATACGACTTATCGAATGTTGTGGGTGATATGATCACCATCCTCGCCCATTTCAAGGCTGAAAAGGCCATTATTGGCGGTCATGATTTTGGCGGGGCAGCGATTCAGATGCTGGCGCTAATGAGGCCAGAGCTTGTTGCGGGACTAATCCTCATCAACACACCGATTTTGCCAAGGTTCTATGATCTGGTGAATTTTGATGAAGGACAGCAAAAAATGTCCGAGTACACAATAAAATTCATACAATATCAACCTGGCGATGAAAAGAATGAGGCAGATGTTGTGAAATTCATAAGGGATACTGCACGACGGCAAGAAGTAGCGGAGTACATGCGCTCTTCTCCAATGCATGGCATGTTCGCCTTATACAAAAAGAACTATCCCGGTCCACCTTATGGTCAGAATGTCGATACATCACACATGCGTTTTCAAGTCCCGACACTGATAATCTGGGGTGTGGAGGATGAATACTTCTCTCCCAGATTCCTTGACCAACTCCTACAGCATTTCCTTGCACCTACCCGACTCGTCACGTTGCCAGCAACAGGGCATTGGCCATTCCAAGAACAAGCGGAGAAGGTCAACTCGGAGATCTGGTCTTGGCTTGAAATGTTGAAGCTTGGCTAAAGGATTCCAATATCTCTCGGCCGCTGGAATTAGCGACGCTTTGGGAGGTTATTTCCAGTTACACGTTATCTTTCCTTGGTGGCAGGTAAGCGCGGTGGGGCATGGGCTTTTATCATTTTGGATGTTCACACATGCAGGTGATTTTGTTTTTTTCATTGAGTAGAAATCGATTTCTAGTCGAGTCTTTTTCCACTATCAGGGTTGTCCGGAAAACTACAAAATCAGAGTTCGCAGACCTGTTGAAGATCGACAAGCCCCTTTCCAATGTAGTAGATTATCTGTATTTGCTGATGAGGAGTTTAGACAAATGCATGGCACGGGCCTTGTTGTCTTTTAAGCTGTGCAGGACATGTATCGTTCAGCAGAAGAGAATAAACAGCTCTTTGTTCACAAATAAAAGCTGAGCTTTACAAGATACTGTATTTGATTCCCCGGTTTTCATTGACGACTGTAGTAATTTGGAAATGACCTAACAATCGACGCCGATTTGCGTGGTCCTAGCTACAAGACTCCGTGGACACGCCACTATTATCAATACGTAATCTAGCCATAGGAGATATGTATGTTAATAGACTTAGAGTAAGAAGCTTGCATGCCGAGTGTCTAAAGAGCGCTCCCTATATATCCGTTCGAAAGACATGTTTGTTTTCCACATTTCATATATATATAAATCAGTGATCAAAAGTTAAGGGTGTTTGTGGTTTCTCATTGGTATCGACTAGGCTAGTCTGTATATAAGCATTTCCCGCTAGCCCGTTACACAGGTTAGCGTCAGTCTCTTCATACAATACAACCTATTGTACTTACTACATGCGTAACTAGGCCATCTACCTCGCTTATCCACCTAAACCTAGAGACTGCGTGGTCTCACAAAATGCTAAGGATGGAGATCCTTTTAATATTGACCTATGTATATATACGTGTGTGTCTGCGTCGAGGCATACTGTATCAATTGGCTTCAATTTGTTCCGGTCTTGTTCTGACGACTCCAATTATTCCCTAGGCAATCACTCGCCTCCAAAGCTTCAATGGCATCGGACCCGGACTCAGATTTGTCGTCTCGCGGATTGGAGGGTTCCAGTCAGGATGAGGCAACGCAAACTCAAATCGGTGTACCAAAGAAGCAATGAGGACTGTTTGTTCTAGGTAGCTAATATTCCGGCCAATGCAGCCTCGCGCCCCGGTACTGAAGGGAATAAAATATGGCTGTAGAGATTTGCCCTCCTCTCCTAACCACCGCTCCGGCTTATAGATATTATGATCCTTGAAAACCGACTCTTGGTGATGCATCACAAAAGACGAAATGCTGACCGATGTGTCTCCAGCGACATATTCGTTGAGGATCAAAGTACCTTCCATAGGCGTTCGGCGAGGCAAACCAAATACAATGGGTGGGAGCATTCGAAGACTCTCGTCTATGCATGCTCGGAGATATGGCAGGTGTTTGACTTTGCCATATGGTGCAACGACCTCATCTTCTTCCAAAACTTCGTCAAGCTCCTCACGAAGCTTAGCCAGGCATTTGGGATTTCTCAGCAGGAAAAAGAGAGCGTTTCGAAGCGCAATAGCTGTGGTATCGTGTCCCGCATTCATCATAATATTAATCTCTGCGACGATCTCCCCCCATTCTAGATTGTGAGGTGTTCCGTTTTTGTCTCCCATTAGAACGGTAAAGAAATCGTCCAATTTCTCGCCATTCATATGTCGCTTCAGTCGTGTAGTCGCACGGTTATAAACAATACCGCCCCAATCCCCATCTAACCGCCACATACGCCGATAGCTTGACGAGACCACTTTGCTAAGTCGGCGAAGGGTCTTGAACCAGTCGTAAGACCAGATCAACTGGTATGATACCCTCTGTGTAGCAGTATGACATTCACGGAAGGAGACATCTTTAACTGTGCCATCCTTGCTCTCAGACTTCACTGTGTCGAATCCCTCATCAAGAAAACCGAGATCTTCGCTAAGACCAATATTCGCGATCGCAGCTGCGGTCCACAGGACTGTCCAGTTTCGATAATCAACCGTTAGATCTTCCTCGTTTGGATTCTGATTTGGAGGCAGTGGATCAGTGCACCGCTTGTCAAACGCCTTGATGAGTTTTGCGCTGACGTCCGCCACCTTGAACTCCCACTCTTCAAGATTCTTGACCGCATAGGCGCTTGACAGCACCTTTCTCTTCCGGGCATGTTCCTTTTTGTCCACGACATCTGCAAGGTGGGCGTGTGAGCCTCCAGTCTCGGAGTAGAAACGATCCTTGATGCAACTTGTATTGTGACCGTAGATATCCTTGATGGCGTTGGGATCGGAGTAAGATAGCGAGTTCGGACCGACTCGTAAAACGGGATGCTTTTTGTGGGCTTCGAAGAGATTGCGTGAACGGAAGCCTTTGTGGGCTTCGTAAATAAACGGTATATCTGATATGCCGGACAAAAGGTAGAAATTGGGATATTTCCTGAGACCCTTTGGGTCAAGAAAGTACTTGATGACTGGGATCACTAAGAAGTACCCCAACACGACCAGAGCTAATGCGAGGGCATACATTGTGTGCCAACGGGATAAATTAAAGACACGAAGTTATCCATTCTCAAGAAAGAGTGAGATCCAAGGCCGCTAATATAAGTTTCGAGATGTTAGCAATGGGGGTTTGACATTTCGGAGGCATAGTTCGGCGAGAGTTACATATATTTGGCTAGCCACGTCAATAATCATTATAATAAATGGTCGTCATACTCCCTTACAATCTCGGAAGTTAGCCAGCAGGCCTTTCACCGATGTAGATATTTTCCCCGCGGCAGCCAACTTTAGTTACAAAAATATATGGGTCCGATCTTCTTGATTCATTTTGTACCTGGAGCTTTGCTGCTAATTTCCGTTCTCGAAGTATCTTGGGGCAAGTCCGTGATGCGCGGTCCAATGGACATGCGCTGAATTGGCCACCGAGACCCAGGGTTTTAAACCCCGCACTCCGGGGGTGGATATGGCCGGCGACGCCTTACCCTTATTTCTCCTCGCCATGCATCAATTGTTCTTCATTATTCCCATTCTCTACTAGTAGGCACATCTATCTCAAGCATGCGGCCGAACAGGCCCGTTCCCCGGTGAGTTCCCCACTCTGCACTCGTGCGCTCATTCGCTAACATATTAATTGCCAAGTCAGGAATGTCGCTGTGAGTATATAGTATCTAGAATTGGTAAATATTGACTAATCACATCATATCAGACCGACATGCAAAGTGTGAGTACATTCAGAGGTCTTCAGACTGCAAGAGACTGACCGAAGTACCCGACTAACGTTAGGTGACGGGCAAAAGCCGAAATGCCGCCGCTGCGAACGGACCGGATCCACGTGCGTCTGGCAAGCTATCACCTTGGGCTTTCGTCATGGCTCTAGTGCCAATGCCCATTATGAATTCTCGGATGATCAGCCTTGGTTACCTATCGGCCACGGTTCGTGCATCTCAATTTGCCCGCCGAGACCCGTTGAAGCATGTCACCATTCCTATCTAAACGATGCATCTATCGGGGTATGGCTCTGCTGATTAGCCGTTGAAGCTGCAGGATGAACAGGCGTATGCCACGTTAAATACGCGGGAGCAATTGAAGGAAACGTGGGGGTGGCATGGGTATGAGGGGTCTGAATAAGGAATGAGAAATCATCAAAAAGCTCAATATCACATTCTGTATAATAATATGAATCAATCGCATAAATGCAGTTCTAACTAGTATTAATCCCCACATTGAGAGACCTTCATCTGGGTGGATTTTAGTGCGGAGAAGAAACAAATCTTTCTCCATGTAGGACTGTCAATGCAGCAAATGCGATCTCATCTCCAGGCATATGAGTTCTTTTTTCCCTCAACCCCGCAATTTCGTAGCCATGCTAGTTCAGCCAAAAAGTATACAGGTAGTACGGGGAGAAAGGGAGATATATCGCAGCACATGCTAACCCTATCAGGCAATTTTCGCCCGCGACTTACCATTTCCAGTAATTCTAATAATACTGCACGAACATCGCCGCTGGTGGGAAGGAATTTGAACTCTATACGCGACGTGTTTTGCAGAGTACCGAGAAGCCCCGTGGTCAACTATCGGCGATAATCTCTACAGGCGGCAATTCTCGGTTTCACCATCGGTTCTAGCAGATACACGATGTATCGAATGCGGATAGTGTCCATCATGCGGGGAAGCCTGTGGTTACGCCGGCTGATAGTACGGATCTGCTCTAGAGCAGAGACCAGACGTTAATAAATAACCCAGATCTCACATGGTGCAAAGTCGCAATCTACCGCTTGGCTAGAAAATCTCTCGTCGTTACATTGCCTACACCGCAACGACCACCACCGCGTCGTCGAATACAAGCACTTCATCTCACCACAGACCTTGAGCCATGTCGTACGGGGACCGCCGTGTCAAGTTTGCGCTTTTCGGCCTCGGCCGCCTGGGAGTCCTTCGAGCCCGCATCCTCGCCTTCCAGCAGCCTCGGATCGAACTCGTCGCCGTCTGCGATACAAAGCCAGGCACTGACAAATGGGCCGCAGAGAATCTGCCTCCGTCTGTCAAGTATTTTTCAGACCCTCAAGAATGCTTGAAGAACAGCGACGTTGAGGCCGTCCTCATCTGCACCGCGACGGCTACTCACGCGCCCTTGATCCTGCAGGCCCTTGAACTAGGCTTGCACGTCATGTGCGAGAAGCCCGTCTCTGTGGACATAGCTACTACCAAGGCAGTGGTCGAGAAGTCTGCTTCTAGGCCTGACCTCAAGTTCCTCGTTCCCTTCACTCGCCGATGTAAGTACTACTAGGCCCCGCGCTTTGCAGACTTCCGAGACTGACTCGCGCCAGATGACAAGTCCTACCGCCAGGCTAAGGCCCTGATTGACAATGGAGACCTGGGTGAAATCCACGCTGTCGAGACGACTGGTATTGATCAAGCAGACCCCAATGGTATGGCCATAATTGCCCCCCGTCGTTGTCTTTCGCATAGGCTGATGAACTGACCATTCTGATTAGCCTTTTTTGTGTCCTTTTCTGAGCAGTCTGGCGGCATCTTCCTTGATTTTGGCATCCACACCGTCAGTCCCACTATTCTTTCTCTCACCCACTGACCTATTTACTAACACGGCACTAGGTCGATGCCGGACGATACCTGTTGGATGTCAAGTCAGGCCTCTCCAACCCTAAGAAGCAAGTCAATAGAGTCATCGCCTTCGGCCAGGTGGCTGTCTACGGGGACTTAGCCAAGTATGGCGACGCCGACAACGCATGGGGCCTGGTGGAATTTGCCAATGGCAAGATTCTCAAGACTTATCTCGGTCGCACGCTCACCAGCGGTTTCGAGGACACGACTCGATTGTGTGGCACCAAGGGACATTCAATCATCAGCGCCAACTCGAATGTTGAGATTCGCGACCATCTCGGTATTCGCACACAGTCTGTGCCTGATGCGTTCACCCTCTTCGATGCGACATTCCTGACTGATCTTGCTGAGTTCGCCGATGCGGTGCTCGATAACAAGCCCTTGACTTGTCAACCAGAGGATGCCTTCGAGGCGGGCAAGATCTGCGCTGCTCTGCAGTACTCATTCCGCAAGGGTATTCCCGTATACTTCGACGACAATGGTCTACCCATTATGGAGTAATTTATCAAGTGATTGCATATATTACAAGATAGAAAGGAAATAGACATAAGCTGGGTAGACTTCATCTCAAATTTCATGGCCCTTGTAGAAGAACTGTACTAAGTTTCAAGTTTACAGTATTGCACTTTAGATCAAAAGCGGCCTTGTGGCTGCTACGGAGTACGCTATGGACTGTTGACCTCAAAGGACTCTGCGATAAATTAGTTTTAACACAAATGTCGAGAATCAGCGCGTTGCTTCATAATTGAGGGGTATTTTAATAAGTCTTCTAGGGGGAATGGAGCCCAACCGTTGTATAGCTTGAGAACCATGTCAGTCTTGGTTATTCGCGGCTAGAACCAGGTGCGCGGACTTGACACACGATCTGTAAAATCTGAACTAGAAGCCAGCAAGGGAAGCATGTTCTCTGAGATTTTCAGTTGACTTTGAGAATCTCCAAGATGTTCCTGGCTTTGTGACGGGCATGTAGGAAGCACCAAAGTACGAAGCACCCTTTGGTGCTGTTGGGACGTCACGGTCCGGTGATACTGACCAGCCCGATCGACCAGTCTTGTGCGCCAATGATGAACTGTACGTCTTCAACATCATCGCCTCGCTGCCTGATCCTCTCTTCATGCTCGCGGGGTCGCCTGCAGCGCATTGGTAGGTCTGCACTTTGTGAATCCATGAATCGCTCGGCCGAAAGTAAACTAGCCCGAGAATCATTGTTTGAGCCCCACGGCATTGTCAGCCCTCTGCCGGCGCACACAATTTGAGCACGGCGCTACAAAGGAAAGACTGAATTAGCTGGAAATATGAATAGCATGACTGTTATTGGGGGGGAAGGGAGCTGCCATGCACCACGTTGGTCGCATTCCATTTTTAGGCGACGACATTCTTTGTGGATGCAATCCATAATCATAATTTGGCAATGTGTACTTGAGACTTCTGTGAGGAGTTGCCATAACAGGTATAGGACGCTATCTTTTGCCACTGCTTTTTCGCCGGTCTTAGACAAGGATCGGCTTCGTCCGTGTTCCGGTGTTCGATGCGAATAAGTGGGCTTCGTCCGAGTCACTCAAAACCTGCGAGACAATATCGGGCGAACCTCGCCGCGAGGGTATATCGCCGCCAGGCATATCCAGAAACAGCAAGTCAAGGAGTAAGGAGTGACCAGATGCGGGGGTACGGGGGTCGGGGTTGTTCAGTCATCTGATATGACATTACTATATACGGTTAAATGCGGCGGCACTTTCCCGATTCGGAGATTTTTGACCTGATCAACTTCCCATACCGTGGACGTATAGTAGATATATAGTAGATATATAGATCATTCAATCAGCTCTGCATCATTCGTATCTTCGCGAGATCAGCCTTTGAATATTGCTTAAGGGCACCTTTTCAGCATCTTTCCCGTCATAATAAGAGAAAATGGCACCTTACATTCAAGAATCCGCTGGCGCCAATCTCGTCTCTAAGGCTAGCCTCCAGTCTGAGAGCGCGGTGATCAACCACGACCAGGTCCCAAAGCCCGTCGCGGACGACTTCATGTACGACTTCAAGTACAACCACAGTCTCCCCACTACCGACATCTTGGGCATTGAGATCCCCACCGATTGTGATGCTCAGAAGGAGGCGGAGGGCATCGTAGCCCGTCTCTCTAAAGCCACATCAGAGGGAGATGCGCAAGCTTTCGCAGGGCTGTTCCTCGATTATGGTGAGATCCTTCGCAAGCCAGATCCGAAATCTCTATTTTAGCTGACCTCGGATGTACAGGCGTGTGGCGTGACAAGCTCTCATTCTCCTGGGACTTCCGCACATTTAACTTCAGAGAGGCCATCTTGAAAGCCGCTACCGATCTTTTGCCCCAAACCAAGGCTAGAAATTTCAACTTTCTCGAGCCTGCACCTATTGTGTCGCGCCCTTACCCTGACTTCTCTCAGCTGCAATTTGTTGTCTCTTTCGAGACTGAGATTGTCCTTGCTTCGGCCGTTATCAATGCAGTACTCACCCAAGATGGCTGGAAAATCTACACCATGCATTCTGTTGCCGAGAGCCTCAAGCAGTTCCCCGAGCGGGCTGCACCAGATGGACACATGACCGGTATCACTAGCTGGGAGAGTCAGAGATCCGAGGCCATCAACACTGTTGACCCCGAGGTGCTGATCATCGGTGGTGGTCAAAAGTAAGAACCCATGCAAGTGAGCCCCATGATATAGTGCTAAATTATTTCTACTAGTGGTCTCGCTATGGCAGCGCGCTTGAAGGTTCTTGGTATGGAAAACCTGATCATCGAACGCAGCGACGAAATCGGAGATATCTGGAAGAAGCGTTACGAATATCTTTCACTGCACTTCCCACACTGGCCCGATGCCTTGCCATACTTCAAATACCCTCAGCATTGGCCCACGTATACCCCGGCTCAGAAGCAGGCTCTATACATGAAGTGGTATGCCTCCGCTCTGGAGCTCAATGTCTGGACCAAATCGGAGGTTGTGAAGGCCGAGCAGGACACCGAGGGTAATTGGACCGTTGTAATCAACAAGGAGGGCAAGGAGACACGTACGCTGCACCCTAAGCAACTCATCATGGCCACGTCGCTATGTGGCGTCCCTTCCACCCCGGCCATACCTGGCATGGGTGACTTCCAGGGCGTGATCCGTCACTCCAGCGACCACAAGAGTGCTCGTGACTTTGTCGGAAAGAAGGTCTGCGTCGTCGGTACCTCGTCCTCGGGCTTTGACACAGCTTACGAGTGCGCACGCCTGGGAATTGATGTGACCCTCCTCCAGCGGTCACCGACTTACGTCATGTCTTTGACCCATTCTGTTCCACGCATGCTTGGAGGTTACGCGCCCGACAAGAATGGCAACCTCCCCAATACTGAGGTACAGGATCGTCTCATGTTCTCTACGCCAGTTGGACCCGGCGAGGAAATCGCCAGGCGCACCGCTAAGGTCCTTGAGGATCTCGACAGGCCCCTGCTCGAAGCTCTTAACGCTCGAGGTCTGCGAACATGGCGCGGCCAGCGCGATACTGGCAACTCCACACTAGGTCAGACCCGGAACGGTGGATTTTACTTCGATGCCGGTGCTTGCGAGGAAATTATCAATGGCAACATCAAGGTAGAGCCAGGCTTCATTGAGAAGTTCACCGAAGATAAGGTGATCTTAAACGGCGGCCGTGAGAAGGAGTTTGACCTAGTCGTCTTTGCCACCGGATTTTCGAACACCATCGATTCCATTCGAGCCACTTTGGGCGAGAAGATTGCCAGCCAATGTGGACCTATTTGGGGTATTGATGAGGAAGGCGAGTACAAGACGGCCTACCGGGAGACGGGAGTGCCTAACATGTGGATCATGGTTGGTTTCCTTCCAATGACCCGGTATGCCTCCAAATTATTGGCTTTGCGACTGAAGGCTCTGAAGGAGGGCATTTCCCCACCTCCTTACAAAGTCTAGGTCCTATAGATGAAATAGATTGTGCCTTAAAAAGACCGAGTTTTTGTTCATCCACTTGCTAGATTTTGTAACTAAGAAACAAATATGAAAGTGCAGGTGACGCACGCTGAGATGTTTCTAGGGAAATCGGAGGATCGCAGTGATCGTAGTTTCATCACTTGGGTTGAAGAATCTTAGCGAATTGATCTTCCCCCAAGGAACTGCGACAATTGTAAAGGAACAAAGAGGGAAACTAGGCAAAGGTTTCTTACCATTTCAGCATGAGTGATGTATTTAGGTCAAAGCTAGTTTCACACTTCTTTAATTTCACTTCTTCGATCGCTACATGTACTCTGCCATCACCCGCTATGGGAGAAAGAGAAACCCGATCGGATTACATTCCATTTCAGGCAAGACAGATTTTAGCGACCAGCAAATTTCATCATTTACATCTAAATCTCCTTTTCAGTCTATAAAGGGTGACATTTTCCATAGAGGATTGTACGACTCTAGACCCAAATCTGGGGACTTCACTGCTTGTACCAGTCATCAAAACCGAGATCCCATCCAAACAGAGGCGTATTGATACGCTTTGCCTTTCCTTGTGCAGCCAGGCCATTCAGTACATCCATATCCTCGCGCGAGAGAGGGATGACTTGACTGTTGCTCACGATTCGATTTTCTTTAATAGACTTGGGCAGTACAACAACGCCTCTGTTGACGTGGTAGCTGATGAGTACCGTGGCGGGTGAAACATCATTCTTCTTAGCGATCTCCTGAATTGCGGGATCGGACATGAGCGGAGCGCCTGAAAACAACAAAGTTAGCTATCGTTAACCTCTTGGAAACCCCACATAGCGTGTCAAGGAGCACTTACCTTCGGAACCGAGTGGTGAATACGCCTCGAGGAGAATGCCATGCTCGTCACACCACTCCTTTAGTGCGTGCTGAGGAAGGAAAGGGTGTAACTCGACTTGGTTGACAGCAGGGACCACGGTCCACTTCTTTTTGAGCTCCTCTAGATAGGGAATCGACCAGTTGGCCACGCCGATCGCTTTCACTTTGCCGGCCTTGTATACCTCCTCCATCTGGGCCCAGGTCTCACTCTGGTCCCAGGATCGGTCGACGGATCGTGTGCCATCGGGATTGACTGGGAGAAGTGCGCTCGACTCGTTCTGTGCGTACAAGTTAGTCATCCATATGTCATGATGGAGGGAAACAGCGAAGTGACTTACAGGAACAAGTCGGACTGGCCAGTGAATGAGCTGATGTCTGTGTTAGCCGAGCTATCGACAGGCGTGCCGCGTCTGCCCAAAGGAGAAGGGGGTTAATTTACGTAGAGATCGAGGTAGTCCGTGCCTAGAGCGTCAAGTGTCTTTTGGAGACCTTCCGCGACATTGGACTGGTGGGTGTTCCACAACTTGCTGGTGATGAAAATGTTTTCGCGAGGGACACCACTATCCTTGATTCCCTGGCCGACTTCATGCTCGTTTCCTAGCTATCCCATTAGACCCCAAAAACATGCTTGTTTTTCTTTGTGACAACCCACCGTATATCCTGTCATTTATTAGCCAAGAGTATGCGCTACAAAAGAGACATGGGAATCTTACAATGCTGCATCAATGTGACTATATCCGTTCTTGAGGGCGAACGAGACCGCTTGGCGTACCTGACCAGGTTCAGATCTCCAAGTGCCTGTATTTCTTGTCAGCAAAAACCGCTAAGATCCGCAGAAACTAGCGCTTGTATCGTACCAAGTCCCACAGCGGGGATCTGGGCGCCGGTGTTAAGCTTGAAATGAGTTGGGGGTGCCATATTGATTGTGATGGAAGAAGACGGTGATGTGAGACCAAAGTGTAGGGACCGGTGGCTTTATGCTATACTTTCGGAGTGAATCACGTAGGATGCGAGAAAGAGTTTATAAATGGGGCCCTTTCTATAGTTGAGAGGCTCTCGCCTGGACTGATGTCAACCGAAACATATCGCATAGCCTGGAGTAAGTGCCCCCGCGCGAGATTGGGCGAAATTTGCGCGGTTGTGACCCGAGACATGTCGGCCGGCTTGTCCTGAACATCTACCCGGTACTCTTTTTACCTGATTGAGTAACAAGTGGGCGAATTACTTGCGGATCTAAACATTCAGTCCCACCCGTTCGCCGCACAATGCGCCGCAACCTTCCAAATACGGTAATATTGTGCCCATGTGGGGTGGAACGTCAAAACACGGGGGTCAGTCCCACGACCTTAAGGCAAAGGGTAGTCTTTTCAGGCCAGAACAGTGGATACTTCCTTTCAGGTTTGCTGCCAGATCTAGGATCCTAACATAGCCTAACTAAGGGTACGTGCCACGATCGCCCGTTTGTTGCCCTAGAGGCGAGACCTTGGTAGGATGAGGTATAGGAAAACGGAGTGCTTAAAGAGCTTTCACAAAATATACTAGATCTGTTAGAAAATTTCTCGATATTGGCTAGACTAGAAGATTCGGCGGTCGTATAACGTAGGAGCTAGTCTTATTGCTGCTAGGTGTCTTCTAGCGAAAAATATCTAATAGAAGACGAATCCGCTATACTTAATGAAGGGGATTCCGTAATACTTAAAGCGTGGGATAACTATAGTCTAGTGTGAAATGAATAGGATCTTAGGACTAAGCCTAAACTGTCGAATAAACTGTCGCATGTTGGGAACATCAAAGTGCAGGTTTCCGGAGACCATGTGGTATTCTGCTGGTGCGGCAGATGGTCAACACAAGGGGCTGGTGGTACGGTGTATACAGCTACACTTAGCTCGGACATCTTGGAAATTTAGGTTTCGTGGAGTGAAGCATAGAAGGAGAATGGTCTCGATATACTTCATCAAATGACAGACAAGGAGCGAAGGATTTAAAAGACGGTCCAACCTTTAAACACTTCTTGGTCATAAGAATCCTACCCAATTCGGTTCAACCTCGGTCTCGGATTTGATCACTAATCGAGCTGCACTGTATTTTGACCAGTTACACAAAGCTGGAGTGAAAGGAATAGACTATGACACTATTGTGTCAGACCCGCTGGCAACCCGCTACGTTGCCCAATATATGCACCGAACCGGCCTTCTTACTCAGTTTCAACATACTAATCAGAAAGAGTCCGATGATGAATCCGGAGACCATGAGGTCATGGAGCAGAGTCCTGAAGACGCTGGGTACCCACCACCGCTTGCTACCACGTTTGAGGAAGGCGAGAGCCCCACTCAGATATTCGAATACACGCTGCCTGACCGGGCACTGACCAACGATGAACAGCAATCGAGGCTGAAGTGAGGATTTCGGAGAACAGGTCTTGATCTTGCTGCAGCAGGAAGTGACTAGGGTCTTGATGCGGAGGAGTGTACATGTCTCGTGAGAAGGAGAGGACATTGGTGCGGTGGACGGTGCATCCAGCATTCATTTTGTATTCAATGCTTGCTAGCATTGAATTTCTCATTTGTACTGCTGGTTTTATGGGTTTTTCATGGGTTTGTCTTGCATGTAATGGGCTGGTGCTTCCACTCTTTGAGAACCAGCCTCACTTTTTGTACTGGAGCATGATCAGGCGTACGGACACGAGTTCTTGCTTCAACCGGATAGAAGCACCTGCATAGCCATTACGATACTAGTTATGCTCCAACAGGTTAATAGAACTTTGATAGATAGATAGATTGATTGTTGTAGTTCCTGCGGGGTGAGAAATAAGACGAAACAGAAACAGAACGCAGCAGAAACGACAGGCAGCCGATCGAGAGCCGAGAGAGGCATTCCGGGACCCCTAGCTCTCGGAAAACTTTTGGGAGTACAGCCAGATTGCGTATCGCCGTTGAGAGAATCTTCCAAGGTGAGTAAACTCGGTATTAGCAGGCTGAGGCAGAAAGATATTAAAGGCCACTGTTTCGTAGCGTGGTGCACTGCACCAGCTGGGGGCTATGAGGAGAACCAACTTCAATGGATATTATGCCTATTATGCCTATCGCATCGCCCTGTTGAGCGGCCCTGGGGGGCAATGTTGTGAAATGAGGCACGCGCACATCAGGACAAAGTCGCAACATCGGAAATAATCCTTGTGCTGTATATGAAAAAACCAAATTGGTTGGAGTCACTTTGAACTTCAAGTTGTATATAAATAGCCTCATGTATCCGATGACAAAAATAACAATTACCTTCCTTTGAATTACAACAACTATGAATTGGAGTGTTCGCCAATCTGAGAACTTAATTGATTTAAGCAACTAATATACTTCCCTTCTCTAATTGAATCTCTTATTTCTATCGTCTAGGTCTTCTATATTTAGAAGGCAAATCATATATAGTCTCGGAACGATAAATTACAGACAAAACCTGCACATATTGTGCAGCCACAGTTTTAGCTATATTTGTGTTGTTATTGTTTGCCTATTCACAAAATATCCAATCCTGCACTAAGAATACCACTTACTACCCATGTTGCGGATATGGGGATATGGATATGTCGCGGACGTTGCCCCAGCAGAGCCCTGGATGCGGTACTGACCACTCTTGAGCTTATCCCTTCGGGCCCGTAGCGTAATTGTCGCTGCTGTACGAGATAATAAGCAGAGACTCCTGTGGCTCGCGCTTCTTAATCCCAGGAGCTAGACTCTGCCTGCTTTGGTCGAGGCCATCATGTGGCATCATAGGTACCTGAGCTTTGGGTAAGCAGCGCCTGAGCAACAGCGGGGAAGGCGCTATTTCCAATCTGGCGACGCCACAAACCACATTGCAACTCCGCACCAAGCCTGCCGATGGATGGCGGGGTTTGCAGACTAATAACCGAGCGGATAAATGCATGGTAACATCCCAGTAGGACTTGTCCCGCAAGAAGGCCCGAGACCCGTATGATATCCACGGATATTGGTCCATAAATTTGATTATAGCCTATAATATGGCACCGAGAATCGTTCAGTCAACGTCCATTGTCTATCTTATTGGCGCGCATATGAGAGAACCCCAAAAAACGGTAAACCCCATCCCCAGATTCCCCAACGGAGCCTACTCCCTTTCTCCACGGAATACGTTGGAGTTGGCATTTACCCGCAAGGCCAGGTTGTATGCACTTAACTTTTAAAATTTCACCATGTGCCATGATATTGTTCGAGGATTGTCGAATTTGGTGTCATTGTCTTCTAGGATAATCATCTGTCAACATGGCTCGTATCATCTCCTGTCTCGCCATTTTGGCCAGCATGTCAGCCGGTCTCTTGGATGTCAGAGCCGATGGAAGTCTCTCACCCCCATCAAAGGAACGCTGGTCCAGCGGGTTCCACCTGGGTGTAGACTATTATCCTTCGCATTGGCCAGAGGAAATGTGGGAACCAGATGTAGCCCGCATGAGAGACACAAACCTCACTTACGTTCGTGTCAGCGAGTTCGACTGGGCTTTACTGGAGCCCGAAGAAGGGCATTACAACTTTACCATTCTGGACCAAACTATCGAACTCCTCGGCCGTCACAACTTAAAGGCGATCATTGGAACGCCGACTGCTGCGCCGCCCAACTGGATTTGTGAAAAATACGACATTTATCCCGTTGACGTCTACAACGATACCCTGCACTTTGGATCCCGGAGACACTACAGCTTCTCCTCTTTTGACTACCGACGGCTCAGTCAAAACATCACGGAAGCGTTGGCTAAACGCTATGGAAACAACTCGATCGTTGCTGGCTGGCAACTGGACAATGAATTTGGAGGCGCTAGAAGCTTCGATCAAAACGCAATCAAGCGTTTTAGGACATGGCTCAAGGCAAAGTACGATACCATCGAGAACCTCAACGAGAGACAAGGTCGAGTCTTCTGGTCTTCTCAGTATACCAGTTTTGAAACAGTCATGCCTCCCTTTTTAGAGGTCTACATGAACAATCAGGCTCATAAGCTTGACTGGTATCGATTTAGTTCGGACATGGTTATCGACTTTGCCAAAGAACAAGCGTCAATTCTGAGAAAATACGCCCCAAACCAAGCTGTCACGACCAACTTCATGAACATGTTTACTGAGTTCGACCACCACAAGTTCTCTCGCGAAGTAGGGCTTGACTTTGCGACATGGGACAACTACCCGCTTGCCGGACTCACTTCGTTTTCTTGGGTGACCGAGCAGGAGCAAGCCGACTATTTGCGGACTGGACTCCCGGATCTTCAAGCCATGAACCACGCACTATATCGCGGTATTGCAGGGGCGGCTTACAATAAACCTTCAGGCCCCTTCGGAGTTATGGAGTCTCAACCTGGGCTGGTGAATTGGAGCCCGTACCGAGTTTCTCCACTGGACGGCATGGTGAGACTCTGGACGCACGAGGTGTTCGCAGAGTCCGGTGACTACGTGTCCTATTTCCGATGGCGGCAGGTCCCCTACGCACAGGAGCAGACGCTCTCGGGTTTGTTTGTGTCCGACAACTCTCCTGAGCAAGGTTACCTGGAGGTTCAAGCCGTTGCGAGCCAAGATCTAGAAAAGCTCCGAGAAGCGGAGGGGACCACGGGGCAAGGTCAAGGAGACGTTGCTCTGATCTTTGACTATACTGCCGACTGGGTATGGGAAATCGAACCACACAGTGGCGGGTGGGACAACAAGAAATCCCAGTACGAGGGTGCGGTGCTAAGCTACAAAGACATTGTCTACAGTTTCTACTTGGCCATCCGCCGCCTTGGGCTCTCGGTTGACATCATTAGTGCCCATCAACCAATCGACGGGTACAAGATGGTAGTCGTTCCGAGTCTCCCAATCATCCCAGACGCCTTTAACTCAGCCCTCTCCAACTACTCTGGGCCAGTTGTTTTCGGTCCACATTCCGGGTCCACGTCAGAGGACTTCTCTTACGCCTTAGGCCTGAACCCTTCCAATGGAACGCTACGTGAGCGCCTTCCCATGCGCGTCACTCGAATCGAAACAACACCTAGCTATGCCGGAAGCAGCGTGTCCTATGCTGGCTCGACTTTCAATATCTCGAGCTGGGAAGAGTGGATCAGCTGCGAGCGAGACAACCGGACGAGTAAAGCCACAGTCTCGTACTCTTCGGCGTTTCGCAAAGGTAAACCCGCCGCATGCTCAAAGGATGGAGCTCATTATATAGCATTCAACCCCCCTCCAGATTTTTTGGTTTCATATCTTGGCGACGTGGCCGCGGATGCAAATATCAAGGCTCTTACGGGAAAGCCTGCCAGTAAGGATGGCGATCTTGGACCTACGATACGACTGGCGAAACGGGGAAACCTAATCTGGGTATTCAACTACGGATTGGAGTCGGTAGAGCGGCCTAAGATTGAGGAAGCAAATCTGTTAATAGGGGATCGGGACGTGATTCATCCAGCTGACCTTGCTGTGTATAAGCTCTAAGATCTGTGGCATCTCTTTCTCTCTCATTCCCTTTTAACTTTATTTTCTTGGACACTATTCGACTTCTTGCAAGTACTCTCATATTTGGGTTTTTGTGTATTCGCGTATTCGCCTTTTCCCGTGAAATAAAACTTCATTCTTGATTAGTTGAGATTGCCGCAACGAGAACCTGACTTAACCTAACACCACCCCATCTTATGGCACTAATTATTTGCATATTGGTCTAATTTAGCATGGGTAATTCTTTCTCTATTATCGTTACCAGAATTTTGATTACTTGCATGGTTCGTGTAATATAATGCATTGAAATTGGCCATTTCTGGACGGGATGGCCGAAATAGATTAAATCACTGAGTCCGGTTTTCGACCTTAAAACTAAAACCTTTTTGATAATGACAACCACGCTAAGCACGTTTAGGGCAGATATCTGCTCGATGTGATACAGTTAAAGATATGCAATTCTCTCCATCATTACTCAGTTAGGAGATTGACCAAGCTCTCTTTAGCCCATTATAGTACAGCCGGCCCCTTATCCTAACGAACCAAAAAGATGTCGACCTCGAAAATACACATCTACTGAAGAAAGAAAAGCGTCGAGGATAGCCCAACAGCGGGATAAGCGCCAGTCTGCTTGCGCTGCACAACGCGCCCACCATATGCAGACAAGTGGGGTTTGACGTGCCATATCTGTTCTGTCCTTATAAGAACAGAATCCCTGGAAGACCACATGGGTTTACACGCATTTCTGGCCTGCCCTCTACATTTGCTGGGAGTGACCTGATGATATTATTCAGCTTCTTGTCCGTGTTCATGGCCGAGACGAGGGCTGATGCCCGCTCGGCAGGGCGAAGCTGTGGTACTACAGATACCATTAGTGACCAGGAACTACTGGAGCAATCAGGTGAAGTTCGCACACCCGATGCCAGACTGACATTGGCTAAAGGCACACTGACAGAAGCAGTAAATTTCGACATTGTTAATTTGTGGCATAGGGATGTAACGATCGATCAACATCAACCGATAGCAGTAATACTCATGGCCCTTTTATTACTGTATTCTCTTGCCAGGAACCTCTACAGTATCCAGCACTACTGTGCCTGCTGCTGCTCATTTGCAAGGGGCTGTTTGTTGAGCAGCAATATGAATGCGCTGGCGCCAAATCACAACTTTGGCCGGGGAGGACACAATGATTGTGTCACCGGGAGCAATATCAGTACTCTGTCAACCCCATATTATTCTCAACTGGCGGATCACGATGAGCACCTTGTAAAGTAGACTTTCTCCCGACGGATGAAAAGCAGCCCGAGTTTTCTTCCCAACTCGACCTGTCCCGGCCCCAAACTGTACGTAGCCAAGCGAACTACCAATGTACGGCCTGGACGAGGCCCGGCTCTGTGTTAAGGCTCATCGTGCCCTCCGTTTTTAACAGTGTTGCTGCCTGGGGAACATTGCACAAAACCTGCTGACAGTGACTACGCCGTGTAAGTTACCATAATAATCCTAATGCCTAGAAGTCTCATAAATTTCCTACTACAAAAGGTACTGCAGTCATCAACAACAGATTTTTGTTTCTTCCGAAACGGAGGATCAACCGTGGTAGGTTCGCGAAACTGAAAATTTCCCATCGATGAGTAATATACGAAGCAAGCTGGTGTGCCAAGTTCGGGTACAAGGTTCCTTGGTAGCACTGTGGGTGTTCTGGGCTGACATTCATTACAGCTCGGTCAATGTGGTTATCAAGATCACACGTCCTATATTAAGCGACAGGAATTACTTGTCAAGGTGGGCAAAGGGGCTGAAATCGAGTGGTGTGACACCATACAGACAGCTCTCAGCAAAATGGGGTTGACGCGTATCTGTTCTAATGTACGTTATCTGTGGACTATCGCATCCGGTCTTCGATCGCCAGCTAATCATCTCCAATGTAACAATATACCGACCCGGAAAGTGGAACTTCTTTTCATACTCTTTCAGATGCGTCAATAATGATGAGGGTTGAGTTCTGCGGCGTGGCTGCGGAGTAGGAAATCCCGACGATCTCTCGGAAGGATTGAGCGGTGGAAGACATTGTAGTAAACCGGACGACTAGATTGCCATGTAGTAGAAACTGTTCATATCAAGACTAGAATGGGTTTATATGTATATATATGTTGGCGGTATACTTTCCTTGGAAAGAAACCCTAGAGGTTCCCCGGGACGTGAATAATCTGAGTACAAAAGGGTCGGCCATCCCACCCGGGCAGCCCTGTGCAATAAGTTCACAGGTGCATATAAAGGTGAATGACACAATACATGACTTCCTAATTGGTGGCTGTTAACCCTGAGGTCGGCGAAGGTGTGGGTCCATTATGGGTACCTTCACCACGATTTTGCCACTCCAGCCACGAAAGAAATAGTAGCGAGGGAATGTGTTCGATGGTTGGCTTTACAGAAGGCCTTGTAATCTGTGGCTGAGAAGCCGCATCTTCTATGTTATTTTCTGCAGCTATATCCAATCAAAGCCAACTCTTGCGTCATGTAAAAGAGCAGATGCTTGAGATATCCAATTTTTCGCGTCTCTATTATCCCGCGCGACTGCCAATGAATCAGACTTGTTTAATACAGCGGACTCCGCGCCCAATGGAGCATTCCACAGGTCATCACTGTCTGGCATACAGAAAGTCAAATCGGCTAGGGTTAAAAGACCTTTTCTGCCACTATTGGAACTTTCTCCAGTCAAGTCAAAGGACGTGGATAATCGGGACACCTTATAGAGGGCTAGTCCGAATCTCTTGATCTCTTCAACGTTCATATATACCAGTGCGAGTGGTGCGTTGTCTTCGTGTTGCAGAAGCATGTTAGGATAAGAGAATATACCCCACCGTCGACAGCTTTGAACAAGCGCAGTCAAGAGCTCGTATCTGTCGTCCGGCAATCGGCATCGCATACTCAAATCCATACTAACATCTTCTCTTGCAATGAAAAGGGCAAGGATAATATTCAAGAGCACACTCTGAAATGTTGCTATAGGCCACGAGGTATTTGTGTTGTGACGTGGACTCGAGTCTGAGATGCACCATTGGTCCTAGGACGAAAGGGTAATCAACACAAAAGTCAACGTGTAGCTAATGTTATGATGTTTCTCACCATTTGAGCGTAAAATGCAGAGCACAGTCTACCATGCAGACGTATTGACGCTTCTCGCGACTCCTGAGTACCTTTTACCCACAGTCCAATTGCGACAACAGATTGAACAAGTACACAAGGCTCTTTAGCGAAGTCAAATGTGCTTCGATGGAGAAATGGCCACGCTGAATGGAAAACATCAAAGTAAATATCAATATAGTCATGAGCAATCCACCGGGGAGCGTCAGGAACGGAACCATCGATTGTGGAAACAGGTGGCAAAGGGTAGAGATCATCCATCCAAAATTGTTGTTCGCTTGTGCTTTCACCCCCAGCAGGTACGCAAATGACGCCTCGATGTTGACAGGCATTGCATGGTAGTACACCTTCGCAGCGGACTTTCCGTGCATGACATGCACTGCATGCCCTAAACTTTCGAGACGGCGGTGCTTGTCGCTGCGGATGATAAGTCCGGATATGGCGTCGCAACAGATCACTGATTATTTTGTGAGCTGTAATTTTTCCCATGAGAGCGAAGCAACCACTCACTTCCTGGTCAGGACGCTCTCACAATAAGGACAGGCAAGATTTGTTTCCCCATTATGATGATTCAGATGTCGATTAAGATGCTCTTTACGCCGATATTTTGCGTTGCAATCTGGATAGTCACATTGGAACCACAAGGGGACGATATCAGCAGGAGGCGACATTGTTAGAATGTTTGCAAGCCTTTGGTATTGGACTCCGCCACAGCTTTGTCATCAAATGACACAAATGAATCCGGGAGGATTTGTAGAGCGAAGAGCTCGAAGGGAATGCAATCAAGTCAAAAGGGCAGAAGAGAACGTAATGACTGGAGCCCCGGGTGGAGCCCCGAGCGAGGAAGGCCACCAATGCGGTTCCAGGACTAATGTGCCCCGGAGCATCCCACTTGATGAATAAGTGGTCCTAAGTAAATAGTTGAACATAATAGGCATATCCCACTTGCCGGTTTATCCATCAGGAGTATATTTTCCACATTCCCTATAAATAAATGGCAAAGCTTTGAAATGGAGTTGTTCCTTTCACTACCGCTACATTGAAAAGATTTCTTGGCACTTCAGTGAACCTCAATTAGAGTGCAACACAATGCCCGATCTACATCACCCTGGAACTTTACGCGACAAGTCCGAACTAGCCGCCAGCTTCGATGCAGGCGCCGCCGAAAGCCACATCAGTTCACCTCTCGAGCCAGTAATCTCTAAACTGGCCAGCATACATGCACCTCCGGAATTTGAAGTTTACTGGGACTATGAAGACCCCGAAAATCCCCGCCTGTGGCCGCTTTGGTACAAAAGCCTCACTGTGGCTGCCATGAGTCTTGGTGCTACAGTTGTCAGTCTCTCCAGCACACTGTACACATCTGGGATTCCAGGAGTACAAGAGGATTTCCACGTCTCGAAGATCGTGGCCCTATTTGGAGTCACGACTTATCTTTTTGGAATGGGAGTAGGCAGCATCGTTTTTGCTCCACTTAGCGAGCTTGCAGGACGGCGGCCAGTTTATATTATCTCAATGGTAATATTTCTGTTGCTATTGTTGCCGAGTGCTTTAGCTCACAACATTGAATCAATCCTTGTGAGCAGATTCTTCGGAGGATTTTTTGGGAGTGCATTGATGTCGAACTCGCCAGCATCTGTGAATGACATCGTCTCGGATAAGCACCGGGCTTTAGCATTTGGCTTCTGGTCAATCGGGCCCACCAATGGCCCTGTCTATGGCCCAATCATAGGAGGCTTTGTGTTCCAATATCTTGGCTGGAGGTGGACAAATTGGATTGTTCTTATTATCGGGGGTGTGGTCCTAGTCCTAATAGCCTCTATCAAGGAAACATACGCTCCAGTGATCTTGAAAAGACGCGCTGCGAGAAAACGAAAGGAGACGCAGAACCCAAAGTGGTGGACACGCTATGATGATGGCGTCGGTCTTGCATCTTTACTGAGAATCAATCTCAAGAGGCCTTTCGTGATGCTCCTAACAGAGCCGATATGGTAAGATATTTCCCTCTTATCCCACATAGCAAATTCTAACATTCTCGCAGTATGTTCTGGGACGGCTACGTTGCGATTGTTTATGGGGTCCTTTACCTATGTTTCGTCGCGTATCCAATCGCTTTCCAACAAGAACGTGGGTGGTCGCCAGGTATTGGTGGTCTTTCGTTCGTCGGTATAGGTGTTGGTGTCTTGATCGCCATTGCATGCGAACCTCTATTTCGTAAAGTGATCAATCTTCACCGTAAGGATACGGAAACCGGCATGGTACAACCTGAGGCTATGGTTAGCATCGTTTTCTTCGGTGCTACTCTTCTAGCGATTGGCCAGTTGTGGTTTTCCTGGACTTGTACTCCAAATGTTCACTGGATCGTCCCCATCCTAGCCGGTGTTCCCTTTGGAGTGGGCAATGCATGCGTCTTCATTTACGCCTCAAACTACATTGCCCGGTCTTATGGCATTTATGCCGCATCTGCGCTTGCAGGAAATATGTTCACTCGCAGTGTCATGGGAGCCTTCCTCCCACTTGCAGGTCCGTCAATGTATGAGGTTCTCGGCTTGAATTGGGCAAGTACAATTCTAGGAATTGTGGAGGCAGTATGCATCTTGATACCTGCTGTCTTCTACTTTTACGGACACAGAATTCGAAAGGCGAGCCCCTTTATCAATAAGGTAGAAAAATTGCAAGCTGCAGCTTGACAATGTTCCCCCGCAAAAATGTTATAAGGTGCAAAATAATATCTACCAATTTTATAACAACATTCCAAAATTCATCTATCTCCGAACTGGTAGACTCTTGACAATCTTGTAAGATAATGTGTCGCGACTAAAGTCTTGAGGTATACTTGGGTATAGAGGCTAGAGTTAATTACCAGGTTTTGTCGGAGTTGCAGCATAATATTCAAAGTTGTTTGAAGATCAAACCCTTTAGCTTCTGTTCTAGCTTGCAAATGTCGTAACTCGATGCAAAGAATGCACTACACTAGGTATTACGTTATGGGCATACCTTCCGCTCTCTCGACATACACACTTTGCGGAAAATTTTCGGCCATCCCACCTAGTGGTGAGTTTGAGTTATCCCGCCCGAGGGCCCGCCACTTTACCCCAGAGCAGCTAGATTCTCCGCCAAGCCTTTTGGTGCTAAGCTGCATTGGATGGTACATTTTGTGGAGTATGTCTTAGTGGGTCTTAATGCGAGGGATGGCAATTACTTATAAGAAAATCAACCAGCATAACCCACATCCGCTTTCTGAGCCAAATCCTGAATAAATCCCCAGCACGTATGTATTTCTCTGCGTTTTCTTTGGCAAAATGAAGCTTAGGCGTGGGGTGTCAAGTGGGATGAGCCGAACCGCATTACATCATCAGGCAGAATGAAAGAGAATAGTTTTGAGCTGATGAAGGTTAGTAATATGCATGATTTCACTGGTAGAAGTGATGGTGTTTGTCAGCGGTGCCGGGTGCCGTGGCATTTACGGGCATTGCCTATCTAAACTTCTTTAAATTTGTTTTTTGGGCTCCCTTCGCACGTTATTTAAATTAGGAATGACAAGAGTCTTCACCACTCTTTCCTGCTAGGCCCTTTTTTGACGCCATCCCAAACCGTCCATTGTGAGATGGTACATATAACTTGTTATTGCCAAACACTGAAAGCTCACTTTTTCCATTGTTTTCTAATGTCTATTGATGAAACTGGACCCAGGGTGTCGCAAACTTAGTAGTAGCAGCTGGCCAGCCGATACTATCGGTTGAAGAGCGGATACGCAGCGATACAGCATGAGTGTATTTGTTTACCCATAGTAGTGATCTTTATCAACTGCCGAAGCCGTATACAAGCTACCACATCTACATACATCTATGTATGCAATGTCGCACGTCAAAGGGGAAGCCAGGATGGGTTACCGCTCTCTTGTTACCACAGAGTCTGATAAAAACGCTTCTAAGAGCTTCTCACAAGCCCTCTAGTAACTGGGAAGTTATCCAGGAATGTACCGAGTGGCCCGTGTGTCTCCAGCGCTAAGTAATCGGCGAACAGAAAACTTAGCGCTGAACCTAATATAAAGAAATACTTGTTTGAGAAACGCACTACATAGAGTGTAATGTACGGTTCTATTTGGGAATGATCAAGTCCCAGTTAAAGCCAAAGCCTTTCTGAAACATGTTTTTCCACCCGTGTAGATCAAAGTCTTAATTTATGGACCATGCATACAACAATCAGCAAGTTTGTCATTGTTCAGATAATTATGAAGAATGCCAGTTATATTTGCACCTTCCACTAGGGATAATACCGCGTAGCAATATGCACTATATGCCAACTCTTTTATCTGAAGGAACGATAAGTATCAAGAAACCGGGAAGTGATATTGCAAGAAGCAAAAGAAACATGGATAACTGAAAAAGCTAATAAAACGCAACTGCAAACAACGTGTGATACACCGAGACGGCTTAAACATAACTCTATACGGCTTTACTCTATGCTTATAGGCATTCAAGGAACTGATACATACAAAGCACTCGACGATCGCTGCAAGAGGGCCTAACTAACTCTTAGCATGAACAGTTCATGAGCAACATCCATCTTTTGCTACCGCAGAGGTTCGACAGAAGCATGAAACGTTCACTGGAATGTCAGCAGATGCCAAAGCAATATCCCGTGCAGGTTGAATAAAAGCAGCTTCTTGACTCTTTCCAAGGCGAGTGAAACATTCGTATAAACCATGCAACCCCCACACATTATTGAGCTTCGCTTTACGCCGAGGATACTCCTGGGCGAAGCCAAGATCTTGCTTGAACAAGGTTTCTGCTTCTTCAACCCGGCCCTGTTCAAGGAGCAGGCCACCGAGCGCATGGCGGACTGGCTGCATCCAGGGAGACGGGTCAGAGTACGCGAGTGCATCCTCGCGCACAGTGGCTTCCCGAAGGGAAATAAACGCATGTTCAATATTTCCCTTCCGGTATTCTAATTCACCAGCAAGCATAGCTGAGGCCACCGCGAGAACATCTTCCTCCTTGCATGGAATACTGTTGAGTCGGGAGCTAGGAACGGCCCTACGAGCCGTTTCAAATTCTTTTTGAGCGGCTTCGGCTTCCGCAATCTGTCCAAGTGCGCTAAATGCAAGGCCACGGGTGTAATGGATGGTGGCTGTAGTTACGCAGTATGTATTGCGATCGGTTGGAAGCTTGAGGTCAAGAATCTCCTCCCAGCGTCCGAAGCGCACTAGCACGTGCGCCTTACTTCCCACGAAGCTTTCGATGAAGTCTGCCATCGGCGGGCTTTTGATGGATAGCAGCTCCGGATCAATGATCTTTTCAAGCTTTTCTGCTGCGGATATCGCGTCTGTGAATCGGCCGGACATCATGGCGGAATACAATTTAGCACAAACGTAATGCACCCTGTAAGCCGTGTACTGAATTGTACCCGTCTCCCGGGCAAAATAGACGTCATCTGCAAGTATCGCTTCATGGTTGGAGTCGATACCACGGCGGTAGTCGCCAACCGCGACATCAATATGCGTCGGCATATGTAACATATGTGAAGCGTGCGGAACCATACCACGAAGTCGATCCGCAGCCGGCAGAGCCAATTCTGGAAATGGCGACATCTCCATCATATGTATGTGCAAGTGACAGATTGCTGGGTGATTGCGCCCAGAAGTCTGCTTCAGTTGCAGCTCAATCACTTCGCGAGCCTCAACTGTGTGATCCCCGGTTGGTTTACCAGTGTTCAAGTCCCATAGCCCGCGCGGAGTTATACACATCAGTGCTTCCGCGAACAACGCAGCCACATCCACATCATTGCTGAACTTATGATACACAGAGCGCATTGCATCAGCATACGCGCGGTCGAAAGGGCTCAGATCCTCGGGAATGTTATCAATAGGTGGGAAACGAGCACCGATTGCCCCAATCAACGCTTGTTCGACTGGTGTGGCCAGACTCGCTAGCTTGGACGCTCGGGCGAGGATGTCGTTGACCTTCTTGATGGAAAACTGACGATCTTCTGGGTCGAAATATCTCCACGCCTTGTTGTAGTTAGGCCCGGCTGCATACGCAATTCCCCACAGCGCCATAGCGCAATTGGAATCACTTTTGGCAGTTCGTTCGAAGCACCGAACCGCTGCGCTATGGTTGAAAGAATGAGCCCATATCAATCCACGATTGAACCACACCTGGGCTTCTGTGGACGAAGTGGTCACTGGCCGATGATACGAGCCAAGGTCGTAGTAAGCCTCTTCGCCAACTTTCGAAGGAGAATTAGATTGATCACTAATTGAGTGTCAGAGCAAATTTAATTCTACAATTTCCATGAGACTTACCGCATATTGGATTATCGAAACTAGTGAGTTTAGTCCTTCGTTAACTTGATTCATGACATTATCTGGAAGATGGGGTCCGTTTATATATCCACATATGATGAATCATCCCACAGGCACGCTGTACGGACTTTGTCGGCATCCCACCTGATGGGTCTGGGTTAGGTACAGCTTACAGTGGCGCTCCCCGGTCGCCACCCTGTCCCAGAATGACTAGATTGCCCGCCAAGACCCAATTTGATGACCGAGGTATGAAACTAACCGTGGAACATGTCCGATGCTTTTGTCTTTGATCGACGCGCCAAAGGTCATTTCAAAATTTAGATATCAACAAAAAGCTGCTTTCGCTGTTCCCCCGAAGGTAAAACCGGGCTGGAAGTGTTGAAGACGATTACCAATCTTCCTTTCTTGGTTAGCTGGGCTCCCTTTTCTCTCCGCAGTTGCTCACCCTAACACTTGAATCCAGTCAATATATTACCAGCGTGTTGACAATGCTCAATTGTTGATCGATATGTATCTTCCAGCAGAGATAATTGACCTTGTATGATATATGCCAGTCCAATTTCTGCGCCACTGCTGAACATTCTTTTTGTCAGATTACGTTCTATGTCGAGGCTGGCGATTCGCGGTCTACTTCACAGAAATCAACTGCTCGGGCTTTTCGGATAATGAATGACAAAATCCGAAAGGACATGGCTAAGCTCCGCTTGGTCAACAAGAGCTTTTGTCATAGTGCCTCAGCCCGTCTTTTCCGACACATTGTAGCTGTAGCCGGTTCATTGTCCCACACCACGCGTTTTCCATCTTTAGGAAGGCTTGTGAACCTTTCCAACAGCCTGTATGCCCAATATGTGCATCAGGTCGACGTTGGGTACGGTACCTTCCCATATTCGGTAGGGGAGGTTACATTATACACGGAAGACCTTGCTGGCTTGCTGTCTTCATGCTTGCATCAATTTCCCAATCTTAAAGCTCTCGACTTCTATGGTCCGCCATTGGCGTCCTTACCCCATGATAAGATGAAAGCATCGATCGACTCGATACTCATGTCGTTATGCTATGTGCCTCTCCCTAACTTGACAGAACTTGAACTTCAGCTACCAATGACGAGTGATTTTGCTCCATTGTTTGCTGAAAATATTAGCACATTAAGAATCCCGATTGGGCAGATCCTCAAACGCCTTGACTATCTGGGATTGCACGTCTATGCGCAAACAAACCAGCAATCCTGCGCGGCCAACTTGTTGAGAATCATCGAGCTTTCGACCAGCCTGACTTCCATCTCAATCAGCAGCACTAATTATCTAGGCATTGATTGTCTCAAGCTCAGCTCAACGGTTCGCCTGCGGTTTTTGTCCTTACACAAAGTGAAGATTTCGTCTCGAAACCTCGTCAATGTTATCGAGCAATGCAAGGAGTCAATGGAGTACATCGAATTGAGGCACGTGAAGATCGAGTCTGGAGCATGGAAGGAGATTCTGACCTCAATGGAAAGTTTACTCTATCTATATGACTTTGACATATCTGTTGGCGGTTCTCTCACAGGGAGTAGAGAGTTTCATTCGGCTCCGACCCTGTCAATTGCAGAAGATGTACCTGATCAAATTGCATTGCAAAACCTCAAGCAAAAGGCCGAATTGAACCGAACTGTGGCTAGGCATTCCAGCTGTTGAATCAGGCACTGCGTTGTATGGCATTTGAGGAAACGGACTTGCAGCATGGAGAGGGACTTTGTACCTAACGGATAGTTTACTCTGTAGATAGATGATGTGACATGACTGTTGGCCGGCCTCTCACAGGAAATGGGGTGTTTCATTCCGCTCTAATACTGTTCCTTCCAGTTTAAAAACCTGCCTAGCGCGTCACTGTCCTTCTTCATCAACGCCTGCGCAATATTGAAGTTTTGCTGCTGCCAAGAGCTGAAGCTCTTTATCCAAGGATTCGCTTCTATGCAGCATAGCAAGTCCTTACCCAGAGACAGAAGTAGGGGTGGAGGGGTGGGGCTATTTTATCGCCCGGGGCACAAAATACGGACCGGTAAGGTGATACTTAGCGCCCCCTTAGAGCCGATGACGATTCTGGGAATATGGGGACTCATCTTTACTCGCGGGGATCCTTAAGGCACGGTAGGATATCTCCTGATCATCAAATATATTCCCAGATACGAGCCACAGAACCAGTGACGATGGTCGCATGAGTACGTTTTGTTGATTACTTTCCGTTGGCCAAACAGGCTCACACCCGAGACACCTAAGCTTTCAAGCACTCTATACAATCTACTTCTATTAAGGAGCTATTCCTCCTCTATTCCCCTGCAATGGGTCGAGCAAAGATATGTCCTTTTTTGAAAATACGAATTGGATTGACGAGTTATCATATATTAACGTCTCCGCTTTGGATCTGGGAAGTTCGTCATGTAACAATCAACTTAAGAGCAGCACGATCTACCCAACTGTCCAAGAGCAAAAAGAAACAAACAGAAAGAGGGATTTTAGAGTGCTCGATATCGAGACACCCACAAATTTAGAAAACAATCTTTGGAACACCGGGGGTTGTCCAGCAAACTCTGTCCATGAAGTTCTCTTCTGTGAAAACCTTCACCAAACCTGACCGGTCCTCGGTAAAATGGGCCCATGATTCAAAGTGGATTGGAATCATGACATCTGCGCCAATATCACGGGTAAGCTGAATAGCTTGCTTCCCATCCATCGTAATCTGAATTGGGCCAGTTGGGAATTCAAAAGTGGCATTGCCCAAGTTGAGCAGGGCGGCGGTAATATGCCATCTCTTTCCAATCTCTCGTAGTTCATCAATATAAACGGTGTCTCCAGAGAAATAGACTGCATTAGGCTTGCCAGACGAATCAAGGCCGAAGGAATCGGTCTCTAGAATGAAGCCCGTAACTTCTCCAACAGGGAAGTGCTTGCAAGGCGTACCAGTGATTCGGTACGTTTTCCCTCCAATGCAAGACGTCACGGTCTCCCAGGGGCGAAGGCCAATGACTCCCGGGCGAGGACGCAAGTTGGAGGCACCGTCCACGGTGGTAAACACCTTTCGGCCATCCAGCAGCTTACGGCCTTCCGGGTCCAAATTGTCAAGGTGATCCTCATGACTAAGAAGCACAGCATCAATAGGCGGTAGTTCATTGAGCTGAAGCGCTGGACCTTGCTTGTTGACAAGGTGAGGTGGTGGAGGAATGCTATCAAAACCGAAGGCTTTTAGGTCCATCTGTTCCCAGACCGGGGTCGTGTCATATTCCGTTCCATCAGTGGCCCCGAAAAATGGATCTGTCAGGAAGTTGACACCCTCGATGTTGAGAATGGCAGTTGCAGTGGTGATATGCGTGATTGTAAGAGTTGGTTTGGGGGTAGCTGCCATAATTGCGGCAGGGGAGAAATTAGGGAATGGCAAGTCTTTGCTAGAGGTAAACCTGGAGCAGATGAGGATGGAAGATCTCCTGGCGTTAAATATGTTCTTGTGCTGGAGAGATTAGAAATACTGTTACTACTAGATGTGATACGGTTCGGCTCATCCCACTCGACACTTGATGAGAAACTTCATTTTGCAGACCCAGAAGCAGAACATTATTAGTTAATATTACGTCGTGGTTTAACAATCATCGGGCTCAGTAAGCGGATACGGACAACGTGAGACTTTTAATTTGGCCTTTCAGCCAAATGCCCGAACATCCAATACAACCCAGCACATACTCCACAATAGTGTCCAATACATGGACGAGTTACTTCCTGGGTAAGGATTACATAGAAGCTTGGCGGAGAATCTAGCCACTCTAGGATAAGGTGCCAAGCAAAGAGCGCTACAGCGCGGGGCCGGGAAGGGGGACGAGACCCAACACACAAGCCGGGCCCTCCTGCGGGATACCGCAATTGGCTAAGTGGGATGCCGACAGAATCCGCCTACTGTAGAATGGATGACTGGGTAGTTAGTTCCAAGATCAACGGTGGTTAGTCACTTTAAAAATTAAGCTTGCTTTCTTGGCGAATAAAGCTACCCATACAGGAATTGATCGGCGTCCACCATTTTTCGTACGACTTGGTGAGGGCCCGCGGATTATTCTATCAGAGGGCAATCTTTTGGTGCATCCAGTGTATTGACTGACTATAGGGTTGCTGGTTTATTCATGGAGGTAGTCTAGTGGGATATTCATTAAATGGTTAACTGCCGTCACCAAAGATTAACCCCTCGGGTGTAGTCTTACGTATTCCTCCAAACTCAATACAACGCGCTCCTCTTTCAAGTGTAGTCTTATAATAGTGTTTAAATAGATGCTGTTCATGTATAGTGGCTTCCACACACTTACCCTTGAAACTTGTATTTGTATTACAATCTTTAGAATCCAATGAATCCAATGAATCCACGTACTTTCGTCTACATTTAGGGCGCTGAAATGAGCGTTATATGCCCAAACCTCGGATCTATCGAATATTTAAAAGCAGTATATTAGGATCTGAGGAAATGCGGTACCGTGAGAATGCAGTTGAGATACTATATTCTAGGTTCTAACATACTAGCACCCCCTGTGTCTGGGGTTTTTGCAAATTTGGGGTAAATTGATAGTTGATTGGTAGTAAATTACGTAAGGAGCGGACCGTATACCTTTCTCAACAAGCCATTGAACCAGCTCCTTGACGTATGTGACATGCAGAATGTTCTTCTGTTCGTTTGTGATCAACACCTTGTATGCAGTCTGAACAGGAAGGTTCCTAAAGATTGGGAACTCAGTCCCCAACATCGACCTTCTGCACCGGGTTCTTACTTTTGTAGCGGACCCTAACGGTCTCTACCATGGCGTCTCGGTCTGGGCACTCTTTCTCTCCTCAGTAGCAGACTGGTTGCACAGGGGATTGCATACTTCCGCCATCAACAAACAAGCATATTTTATAGCGCTTAGGATGATGATTGATAGAGGTGCTGCACTTTTGCTCCCGCGCTCCTGGGTTTCGAGCGACGGCCTCTATCATGTACAACGTTTTGGATGCTTCCAGAATGAAGATGAGAAGCCCAACCGTTGGCCAAAAGACATGCCAACAGTTGAGCAGGCCATGACTCGGGTAACGCAACCGAGCTATGCTGTCGCCGATCTCCTTGCCACATTTCGGGTCCACTTAGGACCAGAAATCAATGACCTGATTGCACTCGCAAAGGCCTGAATAGATGGTTATCAGCATCTAAACCTCAGTAGACCCTCGAACAGCAGGTGAGACCTTTGGTCCAGTGTTACCAGGGCTCGGGACTGATCCTAGAGAACATCCATTTCCTCTAGACAGACTGGGCTTCTTGAGAGAATCATTCAGTTGAATCAGCAATCATACATTGACGAATCTGTGTTCCCCGTATATATAATTTACAGCTTTTGTGTAACGATGTTTTGAAAGAACCCTACTCTGTAAGTTTGGCGAAGAAGCCCCTGCGTCTGCACTAACTGTATCCAGCATAGAGTGTTTCAACTTGGGGTTCCAGAAACAATTCCACTTTGTAAAACATGGAAGCCAATTTTGAATTTAGCTGTAGGAGGAAGGTGTTTCATCGCTCCCCATCGCTTCAGTGCACGGCTATACGGTAGCTAGCTGCCTGCCCCTGGCTCTTGGACAGATTAGGCAAGAAGAAGTATTCTAGATCTCTAATTGAGGCTTGCCACAAGTTTATTGCCCGCTTTAGTCACGCAGGATTATAAGCGAACGCTCAAGGAGTCCCGGGGTTGCATCCAACTTCATTCCCATAAGTGCTCTTAAACCCCGCACCGCACTTGACCATCTTCATTCTCGCCTCAATGCGATGGGTAAATGGAGGAAATTCGTCGGCCCGCTAGTTCCGCTCGTTCTGGGTATGGAAACATGTCGTCTTAGGCAGTGTGGCTCCTTGTACGCTCCGAATGGCGCGCCTGCGAAGTGGAGCCATAGATCGCAGGATCTTTCCCCAGCTCTTCCGGGTCCCCGATGGATAATGTAGAAACAGAAACAGTCCTTTTTGCTCTAAGGAACTGCCCACATGAACTCAGGGCATGGGGTGGGACCTGTGGGGGAAACGATACAAAAGGACCGTAGTGCATCCCTGAGTGATGCCCGTCGCGATCATCTGGTACTCCCTAGGATCATAGACCGGAATCCGAGCTCGTTGTCATAAGGAGAATCACTGATTTTTCGTTCCTCACTGCCCTTGTGGCCAGTACGGCTGCACAAGAGGTCAGAGTCAGTGAGGAACCACTTCGAGCCAGCATCTCGCGTTCGCGTCAGTAGGCTGACTTGGAGGGTGGACGTTTAAATAGTGCTGCTCGGTGACTCCATTACTGATATCACCTGCTGGAGACCCCTGGTGTGGGACCAAATCACAGCAGCCGGGTTGGCGGGTAGTGTCGACTTCGTCGGCACCATGAACATCCTCCAAGCTAAGTGCTCGAGGCCGCCAGATTTTGATCCAAACCATGAGGACCACTCGGGCTGGCAGGCGTATGATATTGCCAAGAAGAACATCGTGGGCTGCGTTCAGAACACCAAGCCCGATATCGTTCAATTCATGCTCGACACCAACGACGTCAACATCGGCAAGCGGGATGTCGAGAGCATCATCGGCTCTTACACAACCATGCTCGACGCCATGCATGTCGCGAATCCCAGGGTCAAGGTCATCGTAAGTTGTTCCTCCCTGCTTATCGTACGATTGTTCTTCATCTTCCTGATCAAATGCCGACGCAAATATTCCTAGGTGGATAAGTTGATCCCGACAAGCTGGAGTGACCCGACTATTGAGGCCCTCAACAACGCCATTCCGGGCTGGGTACAGCAGCGAACAACAGGGGAGTCTCCTGTTGTCATTGCCGACTGTTCACGGGCTGCCGGCTTCACCAACGCTATGCTGCAGGACGATGGTGTCCATCCTAATAGCCAGGGTGATCAGTTCCTCGCAGGGCGGATCGGCCCCAAGCTGATACAGCTCATCAACAACGTCCGAGTTAGCACCAAATAACCGGCCGGCGACAGCAAACTGGAGGACAGTTAAGATGCCTTGGATGCCGTACGCAGCCTTCCTAGCAGATATGGGACAAGATCCTAACAAGCCCCGGGAGAGGCAAGGTTTTAGCGAGTGATACAATTCCAATTGAAATGTCGGGAACGGGGGTGTGAGAATAGCAGCGGGAAGGTATGTAAGATTCGTCTAATGTCATACTATGGGATCACAGCCATGCGGCTGCATAGATCACGAGATGGGTGTGATCCAGTGCTAAGGCAGTTGACAGCCCTATCCAAACATTCACGAAAAGAAAGTCCTCTACACTGCAGTAAATGCCTGAGAGACTCGCCATGCTTCGATTTAGCGCGAAGAATCATGTCTTTCACGACTCCTTGAAATTGGCCAAGAAGAAATGAAATATTTTCCAAGTAAAATTTAAGGAAGCATGACGGTGAAAAATAGTATCCTTGGCCCAAGAACCCTCTTGATCAGGGGTGGCGTGGTCGCGGTGTAAGCCTGAAAGGTTGTATAGAGCCTCAATCCGGGCAAACTAGAGGTCCGTGTCACTGGTATTGGCAAATTCAAATTTGACTGCAACTACTAAGCAGTGTCCGTGCCCTCTTGACGAACCACGTTCCTCTCAGATATTGTACTATCTGTTGGAATTGAAGAGAGATATGTTGACTAAGCGAAACTCGATTGAAAAGCAGGTTATCTCTCGGATAAGCAGACTGCCATAACTTACAAAGTTGCTTGTGCTTAGTTATTTTTGCAATTCAAAATTATTTCCGTCCAATGGGCTGCCATGAAGTACTCGAAATACGGTATTACTCACTTCAGACAACTTTTGCAGCGGCACTGTAGGTGGTAAATTATATAATCGAGGACTGTAGTAACGTACTTCACATGCTGAGCAAGCACTTAATTATGCCTGCAAGGTCAATTATTACCACTCAATCGTTAGCGCTATAAAGGGTGCCTCAGAGAAGTAACTACGACTTAGATCCCCAACCAATGTTATGCGTGAACATCGATAAAGTCTCATGTGGTGGCGGCACGACCCGTGGACTCCAATTCGATTGACTAACCCCACCAGGGAATAGCTATTATATGTGTGATACCTGGTTATGTTTTGACACAGTGATACCAATGGCATAAGACATTAGCCAAGCTCGGCTAATTTTTCCCTCCTGTCACTGAGACGGGGTGCTACGTCGCCTCATGCAGTAAGATGCATGATGGATACTCCAGCCCTCCTAACTATAGAGACCTTCAGATGACAGCGCTAGTTAGCGGTCCGTGTCACTGGGAGCGGAAGCCTTCGGCAACTGTTCATCTCATTCTTATACCGAGCAATTTGAAAAGCTTGCCCGCACCAGAAGAAAATTAGATTTCTAATACCTCAAACCCTTAACTAGTCGACGGCAAAACATGTCCTCCGAAGAACAACCCACATACTGGGTCCTGCTTGTCGGGATTAACTATTATACCCAGGGCAAGGCTCATGATCGTCCACTGCGCGGCGCAGTTCCCGACATCGAAGATGTAGAACAGATGCTTCAGTCTTATCTCGAAGGGAAACGGCTTGACATCACCAAGATTACTGCTAGAACCCCAGACCCCTCGCACGAAGACACAGTGGTATTGCTTCCTGACTACGAAACCATTGTGGAAAAAGTCTTCTGTCGCATTCAAGCTGAGGCGAAATCAGGCGACTTTTTCTATTTCCACTTTTCCGGCCACGGTGGCCGACAAGCCCGTAAGACAGAGCCTGGATCTTGGGCTGGAGGCGCATGGTACGAAGTTCTGATACTCGACGGCGACCGGAATCTGCCAGACTTTGAACTCGGAGCGCTTCTTGACAATATAGCCAGTCGAGGCGTAACCATATTCGCTATTCTTGATTGTTGCCATAGCGGAGGGGCAGATAGATCTGATGAGGATGATGGAATGCGCGGACTCGACGAGGTACTACCTGCCAACGCAAACATAGACATCCTTGCAGAATCATTATTTCAAGATGAAAATCAGCATTATGAGTCCACCGACGAGGCTGCTAGCCGAGATGTATCAACTAAAGGCTCACATTGGTTCCGGGCAAGGGACTACACCCTCCTAACCGCGTGCCATCCTGGAGAAAAGGCGAGAGAGGTACAAGACCAAGGACGTTGGAGGGGAGTCCTAACGAGCGGAATGCTACGCGCCTTTGGTCAACTCACTGCTGCTGGCGGTCTCCCTACCTACAGGGTCCTGTATGAGATCGTTCGAACGGGCATGATAAAAGAAGGGTACGAACAGCGCTGCATGCTCCATGGACAGGGAGACCGGTTTCTATTTGGTCGGCAGACTATTGAATCGGTCCGAGTCGGCACTGTGAGAAATGTTGGAAGGAATGTACTGCAGATTGATATGGGTGAGATTCACGGCGTTTCTCGTGGGGACGAGTATGAGATTTATCCATCCGGTGCAATGATTGGGGAAAACCTCAATAGCAACAACCGGCTTGCGAAGATCAAAATCAGTCGGGTTGAGGCCACTCAGTCCTATGCACCGCGACCGAAAGATATCAGGTCCATCAAGGTAGGCTGTATTATTAAACTAGTTCGGCCCGTCATACGGCTGCCTTTATATGTCAAAGTGCTGGATGAGAAGCTGCTCGGCATGTTGCAAGATATGACAAGTGAGGAGCCTAGTCCATTCAATCCGACACTTCAAGCCATCACCGACACTTCCGAAGCCGCATTCCAGGTGCTTTCCAAGGACGCGAACTATGAGTTGGCAGACATGATGGGAACTTCGCTGCGACATTCTGCTCCGATTCCTGGTCATCCGATAGAAGAGGCGGTCAGAACTGTTTGCATACGCCTGCGCAGGATCGCTCGCTACCGCTTCGTGGCCGGGCTCGTGAACAAAAACTCCAAACTAAAGAAATCCTTTGCCTTCGACGTCTCCCCACGGGAGGTCTTTGACGAGGACCGCGTCACTATCACGTACCAAAATTTGACAAAGTCCTTGCAAGCCCAGGATCTCTACTTCACGCTTTTCAACCTGACGTCTCGTGGTGCGGTCCAACTCCAGGATGCGGGCACCCTGGTCGAGCCGGGTGAAAAGATTTCAGATGACGTGCCAATGGTGATTCCCCCAACTTTGGAGGATGATGAGATTGAGGATGTTCTAGTAGTAGTCGTTACCACGGAAGAGCCACATATGGAGTGCTTACAATCACCCGGGCTTCATGTCGAGGACTCAGGCAGCCGCGGTGACGAGGACGATGAAGAGCAAGCGGAAGATCTAGCCGATCTATTGGATAGTCTGGATGAGAATTCTCGAGACATACAGAATCGGGGGATTTCTAGTTGGCAGACACAGCAGGTAGTCGTGAAAACCAAGAGGCGGCCCATGATGGAGAGAGACGGAGAGCAGTATGAAGCAACGGAAGAAATAGATTAGTAGAGCAGGTAGTGAAGCTTAATTGGGCCACTGCATGAATTGAACTACTTTTCAATCCGCTGAATGTCTTCTTGCGCTCTGATCATAATTTCATTCCTCTTCGACTTCGGCCTCGGCAATGTCCCAATCCTCACAGTATTCCTCGCTATCCTCGTCTTCACTGTTGCCTCCAGGGGAGAATGCGAAACAGACAGAGTCATCATCCTCCGTGTGGTATGTGACCCATCCTTCTACATCCTCATCAACACCTTCCAAATCCGCCTGGAAAGTTTCCTCTTCATGGCTATCTTCCTCGTCACGCGATAGATTAAAGGACCTCCAGACGTTCTTTTGAGACTTGAGCTCGGGCGTTATCTTGCCGCCATGTTTCGAGATGTTGATCTTCCAATAGCATATTGAGTAGACACGTTCGCCTTTGAGCTTCATTGTGCATTTTGTGTCATCATCACTCTTCTGCTGGGCTTGGAATTCCACGTCTGCCAACCCGATCGGGTCTCCTTGAGCTGAACTTATCGGCGCTGTGAGCGAAACAGAATTTTCGTTTGCCTTTTCTCCTTCACTGGAGACACTTGCATCGAAGAAAGTTCTGACTCCCACAACGAAGCGAGGCTTCCACTTTCTGCGGACGCATCGCTCGAACCAGGCTTGCATGTACGCCCCATGCTCCTGGCCAAAGACGATCTCCTCAAAGAGCTCGTCGGGACTGTTGAGGGTGTAGACATTGCCACCTTCGATAGCGGACACATTCATGGAGGCTTTCCCGCCATGGTTATGAGAGAGGGAGACGAATTTGGTCAGCAGTATGCTCAGACGGCTGTTGGAGCTACTGTTCTGCGTAATGTTGACGTTCTCGTCCGGCCGAGACGAGTGCTGCTCCGGCTGAACCTGGTATGGGGTCTGCACATCCTGGTAAGGCTGTTTCTTCTTCGGTACAAAGCTAGCGAGAGGGATCTGAGACGGGAGAAACGCCGTGTTGGTGCAGAAGAAAGTGAGTTTGTTTGGTGGAGCCATGTTCACAGTTTGAAGTATGCGGTACTATCGCACGGGTCCAAGATCGATGGAAAACTCGGTTCAAAAGCCCATTCCTTTGCGTATGAGGAGATCTATTATCGGGCAGCATCATGTCATTCCAAATTGGTCTGAATACCCCTCATCATCCATGTCCACCATATGCATCAGCATAGCGCCAATCACGCAGTCCACGAATCCGAGTCGAACACATTCGATGCATTTCTAGTTCCGGACCGTACAATAACACGTCAACTGTGCATTGTGCAGCCGCTTCTCCCTATTGTTCATAGCGGTTTTCATGAACACTTGCTACTTGGAATTTTTGGTCAAGCGTATAGTGCAAGTTTTGTCTCTCGCCCAAGATTCTATCATCAATAGTCATTCACCGGAGAAGCTGTTTCGCATCTGATCAAACGAGATAAAATGACCTCCTCCTTCGCACCGCCAGCCTCCTGCCTGTCTAGTCCAATTAAATCCAACGGTACACTTGCCCCTCAAAAGTTTTTGGATCCTTGTTTCCTCAGCTGCGGCTTCTTCGAGACGTTCTAGTTCATCAGTAGCCTCCCATAATTTGCTCTGAATGGTCTTCAATTTCTGGCTCCATTCAGCCGTCATGGTCCCTTTCGCAATCATGCGTTGCGCCTCCGACGCCTGCCGACCAAGTTCAGCCACCATCTGACGTGAGATGACAAGCTGATTTTGGCGCTGTCTGGCTGCGGCTTTGTCCAATTGAAGCTCTTCCCACACTGCATCAGAAACACCAGGGTCCCTCAGAACATCTCCGGGCACATATGGAGCCGCTAAATCATGGCTGATCCTCTTGTTGCTCGACATTGGCCCCGGCGCCGATGCCGTATCTTCGCCATTCATTGCAGGGTTAATCTCCGGCGCAGTCTGGTTGGAGTCCAAAGATTTCTGGGAGGCAGATTTGATTTCGATCATATTTGTCGACTTTGTTGTGTGTAGTTTAGGGGGTGGAGGCATCATATTCATTTGAGCGTGTTCACGAAGTGGCGGACCAGTCGACAGCCTCTCCCGTCGAGGACTCCTTGTCGTAGGAGCGCGGGTCCGTCGCTCCCTTGTCATCGTTGTGATCTGATTCATGACAATCTCTTCGGAAACGACCAATGAAGGCTGACCAGTGCGAGCACCCAGAATGCTCATGTGAATGGCACTGGCGAGAGTTTGAACATCGCGAGCATTACCCCAAGAAGGAAGCAGGGTTAGCTTCTCGAAAGAAACTTCCAGTGAGTTGCTGTATTTCTTCGAAAATTCCAACGAGCTAGTATCCAAACCGCGCAACTTAAGAGTGTGTAGAAGTAAATCAACGCAATGAGACATTGAAAGAGGGTTGAAATGGATGACCACTGGAAATCGGCTGGTAAGACCAGGGTTGATGGCCATCAGCTTGTTTATATCTGGCTCATAACCGGCGAGAATGGTAACCAATTGGTTTCGAAATCGGTCGAGGGTCAATGTATTGACTATCTCGACCATCGCTTCTCTACCAAAGGAACCTTCTCCTAGCATGTAGGCTTCGTCGATGAACAGGACACGGCCAAGTGCGGCAGTGAACACCTTTTTGGTCTTAGGTCCAGTATGGCCAACATATTCCCCGATCAGATCAGAGGCGGAATGTTCGAGAATTTCTTTTGTCGCAAGAAGCCCCATGTCGCAGAAAACCTTACCCATTTCCTTGGCTGCGCTCGTCTTTCCAGTACCTAAATTTATACCTGGTCAGCAAAATCCTGATTGATGCACCGCAACACTAACCTGGAGGACCGCAGAACAAAAAGGTGAACGGTATATTCTCGCGGGGGTCTCTATTCAGCGCGCGACTATTCATCACGACATGTTTGTAAGTTTCCAGCTTTTCTATCACAGACTCAAATCCGAAGTAGTTGCTGAAAAGGCGCCTGATGTTTCCAGTGTCACGGTCGGCTCTGTCATAGGCTTCATCAACATCGACTGGCTCGAAGGCGTCCGTATTTCCTCCACCTGAGGAGTTCGAGAGACGTTGTTGCTGTCGTAACTTCACGCGATCCAAGAGAATGTCGACTTCTCCCGCATTCCCAAAGCCTGGACGGCTTCGCGTTCTGTCGAGAGCTTCCATCATGACCTTCTTGGTGATACCACTGGCCTTGAATCCTTGCTCCTTGAGCTTCAGGTCCAGGATCTGCCCCAGCTGGTCATGTGTGTAGTTTTCAAAGACAAAAGCAGACGCAAGTGGAAATCTTCGCGCAAGGGCCGGGTTGGTCTCATTCAACATCGACTCCATTCGCTCGCGATAACCCAAAAGAAGTACGGCACGATCCTCCGTTCCGGTGCTTTGAACGTCCGCGACAATAGTGTCGATGACCGCGCCTCTAAAAGAGTCCGCCGACTCGAGGTGTCTGCCACCTGTGGAGCTTCCTGCCAAACCATATGCCTCATCGATGATTAGAACTTTGCCCTTGGCCGAGTCAAGAATCGACTTCGTATTCTGCTCCGAGTGACCAATGGCGCTCCCGACGAAGTCAGATGGAGATTTAACAATGACGTCTCCTTTGCTCAGCAGCCCTATCTCCGTCAAGATCTGGCCATAGAGCTTCGCAACTGTTGTTTTCCCTGTACTCTCATATTAGACGTGGGCTTGCTTGAAGAATGCAAAGCATACCTGTTCCCGGATTTCCAATGAACAATTTGTTTAAAGAACACTCCACTAGCGGTTTCTCGGCAAGGTCTCTTTCATAATTGATTTGGAGACGGTAAATGAGAGCCTTTATTGTGTCTTTGACTGCCTGAAGACCGATCATGTCATTTAACTTCTTCCAAGCTTTGCTGTTGTCAAAAATGCTGGTTGGCGGTGGTCCAAGGAGATCTTCTTGGGTCAGAAAATGGTCATCAGTAAGTTTGCCGCTCTTCTCTTCGAGGAATAGACGATTAGCTTGTCTTGTGAGTATGCGCGTGACCGCGTTCTGGACCTCACGAGCGTTTCCAAACCCATCTTTGCCCCTTCCGCGGCCGATTCGTCTTGCGACGATGCGCAGAAAAACGCCGTAGTTACCATCTTCGATCTCCAGGGGGTGCCTCTTGAACCTGGACTTCAGACACTGGATTAAAATTCGATGCAGCTCATAATCCTCGTAGTCGGGGAAGCGAATGGTGTTCGGGATCGTAGTTGAATATGCGGCATGCTGGGCTGGGAGATCCTCCATTCGCTTGCCATAACCGGTAAAAACAATGACAGCAGTCCCTCTCAAACGCTTCATCGTTGAGAAGAGCAACTCGAGTTTTAGACTTTGGTTTGATGAGTTCGAGCCGTGCCAAACAAGATCTTGTGCCCCTTCCACCAGCAGAACTCCACCCCACTCAAGCCGGGACCCAATTCTGTCGATTTCCAAGGGCCCGTTGGAGATCAGTTCTGCTGCTGTTGTCTTTTCGAAATCACTGTTCGTGATTACCCTAATCTCTAATAAGAACTTGGCGTATATCTCAGCCACTGTGGTCTTCCCTGTACTTTCATATGAGACTCAAGTTTCCTAGGAGATATATGGTTCATACCAGTTCCAGGGTTCCCGATAAACGTCGTGTTAAAATTATCTTCTGACCATCGGACTTTCTGTCTCTTTGCAACCTCAACAAATGTGTTGATTTCCAAAAGTCTGGCTTTCGCTGTTTCCAGGCCAACCTTGCGCATCAAGCCCTCCAAAGCTTTATTCGACAACTTCCAATTGGTCTTCTGCCACTCCCAGGCCTCCTTAGATTTGGATGTTGGTCGGTGCCAGGGAAAGGATGGAGGAAGGTCGTCGGGATACTCTTCTGGGCTTATTGTGACGTGGCTGTCAGCTGGAGATAGCGGAGGTGAGCTCCTCGGACTCCCATAGCTTCTTCGACGAACTGGAGAAGAAAAGCCAGAAACAGATCTTGCAGAATTCCGACCTGTATGAGGGTCATCCGAGTGCGAGTCGCTTCCACGGTCTTCTGGTTTGTCCGTTCCATCGTCCGTTGTCTCGTTCCCTTCTCCGCTTGCTTCTCCAATTGGAGGTTCATCTATGTTTTTGTTCGAAGTTTCTGCCGCTCCGTCTGCTGAAGGCTCTGACCTATTGTCATCTTCCTCTTTATCTGTACTTTGGCCGGTCGCTTCATCTGGCGAGGTATGCTGGGGTATTATTCCGCCTTGCATCTCGTCCAAATTCGCCTCGATACCGCAGCTGAGAGTCATATTGTTGCATGTCTTTGAGGACGCCTTCAAAATAATATTTGGGGGGCGGCAGGGTAATTTGTTTCCTTATATAATCTAGTGCCATTTTGTAAAAGAGCGAATTTTGAGCCGCCAGATTGGATTCTTGCTTCGCTTCCAGCGTAGACCATCATCACGGATGTGACCGGTAAGATGAACTTGCATGAGCCGGCCAGCTGGCATCGCGCCGCGGAAGCAGAGCAAAAAGCCACTCGGATACTATCGGATATCTAGAGGCGCCACGCAGTGTCCATGTGCTAGCCTGCCTTCGATGAAGAAGCATTGGCCTAGCCCTTTTGCCTATTCTTACTGCGTTTGAGTCTTCTGACGGCGGAACGCAGAAATTGTCCTGTAATTATCCTAGCAAGTCCTTAAATCTACCGTTGTAATGAGGGGTAGCCCGCATCCTTGGCCATGGAATACAATTTTGAATGGCAGAGACCTGAATTCGACTGGACTGAACCAGCACAAAGCGTATTCCGGAGAATCCCCAACGGTCTCCTCAGTATCGGAAGTCTAGGAAGCGAGAAGGAAATCTTAGGTCTAATCAGTGTATATCAACATCTTCTATGTGACGATGATTATGAGCTGTCTATTTATCTGTATTGTGCGCTCGGGATTCGATTCAAATGGGTGGCATGTCTCGAGCGAGCGCAATTGATTGCCGCGGACTGGCTGATGATCACCGAGGTCGAGCATCCTGATTATCATCACCGACTGGAACTTTCTCAGCTGACATCCTTCGTTGCGAATGACCGCCGGCAAGCTCAAGCTGAGTATGTGCGCGCTTGATCTGGTTCAGTTGCTTTTAAAATAACCTATGGACAGGGAGCCCTTTCTGGATGAGCGCTTCGATGAAGCAGATCGTCTCCAAGAGGAAGCTAAAGCGCTGGTGGAACTATTCCATCGAAATCACGATGTCCCGGTTCTTCGAGATGCAGTCGATATGCTGATAGATGCCTGTGAATATGGCAACCGTCGTCATCCATTGCTAAGACTAATACTCCAAGACCTTGACCGCGCAAGCAGCGAATACTTCGAATATACCGGAGAGCATCCAGGCCTCGACACTATCATCAACGTGCTCAGGGCTTCGGGACAGCAGTTCCCGAAGGACAACCTCGATCGAGCGTGGTACCTGAACACCCTTGGTATGGCTCATGCTGATCGATATAGAATCCTGAATAGACCTGAAGACATTGACGAAGCAATTCGATTAACACAGTTGGCTGTGGATCACCGGCCACTGCACGTTCAGCATAAAAAGATGGTTATCAACTTGGTCACGCAGCGGCATCTTCGATACAAAAGTCTTGGTCGGCCAGAGGATCTGGAATACGCAGTTACAATAGTCAGAGCTGCGGTCTTGGATTGTTTACAAGATGACTCCGCAAGGAAACAGCTTCTCACCGCCGCATCGATCGTTCTTCTCGAAGATTTTAGACGCACGTCGAAACAGGAACAATTGTTAGATGCCATTACCTGCTCAGAGGAAGCAATCGATGCCACCGAGAACGAGGATCCAGAGCTCTCCTATCTGGAACATGACTTCTCCTTCCTCCTCCTGGAAAAATACCACGCCTACAACGATCCAGACGATCTCGACCGTGCAATCGACATGATGAATGATTCTATTCTCCGAGCAAGAAACGATGACCCGTTCAAACCTATTGCAAAATATGGACTGGCCTCCTTGCTCCATATTCGATCGGAGCGAAATGGAAACGATGCGGACCTCACATTAGCGACTCGGCTAGGCGAAGAGGCCCTGTATTTACTGGAAGATGACAACTACCGACGATCACACTGTCTAGGGATGCTTGCCAGCTGCCATGGAACAATTTGGCGACGCAGAGGCGACCCGTTTCTCCTCGGACTAGCTATCGAACTTGCTACCGAGTGTGTAGAGACTATAAAAACGAAAGATTGGACGAGGGCATCCGCATTAAATACGCTCGGGTGGTGGCTGGGCCAGCGTTTTGAGTCACTCGGCGCAATGGACGATCTGGACAAAGCAATCGAGGTTTCTGAAAAAGCTGTTAGTCTGGGGAAGGTCTCCAGTGGCCATTCCAACAATACCGCCCTGTTCTTCAACCTCGGAAATCTGCTCGTAAAACGCTGGCGGCGGACAAAGGAGGAGATCGATCTCGATCGAGCGATTGACTTGGCCGAAGAAGGGCTGAAAGAAATCCCCGCAACACATTCAGAACGACCGTCATGTCTCGCAAGACAATGCGACTGGCTTTTCCTACGAGCAGACTACCGCCAGAGTAAAGTAGACAAGGACAATGCCGCGAAAATAGCCGCTGAAGCACTGCTTACGACGCCAAAAGATGCTCCGGAAAAGGCCTATCTCCTCAGTGTGCTCACTCGACAGGCCACTTCGGGCGCATCACCCGAGGCCATCAACGACGCCATCTGGCTCGGGGAGGAAGCACTGGAAGACACACCGACGGGGCATCCGGAACGAGCGATTCGACTTCAGAATCTCGGCATATTCCACGAAATCCACCACCGTCGCGAATTCAACGCAGACCATCTCGAAAAAGCCCTATCATATTACACCCAGAGCTGGCAGTGCAAGAACGGACACGTCGTCATCCGCCTCCAATCCTCCGTGAAGCGGGCCAAAATGCTCGCCGATCTTGGACGATGGCACGAAGCAGACGACGTCCTAGACGAAGCAGTGAAAACCATTCCCAACACCAGTTCCCGCGCACTAAGCAACACCGATAAGCAACACATCCTCGCCGAATTGTCCGGATTAGCCTGCATCGCCGCGGCAGTTCCCTTGGCGGCTGGTCTATCTGCGTATAAGGCGTTAAGCCAACTCGAACTCGCGCGGGGCGTAATAGCAAGCCACCTCATGGACATGCGGACGAACCTCTCACTCGTGAAAGCCCAAAGTCCCGCTCTAGCCGCGAAGTTCGAACGCCTGAAGGCCGAGTTAGATATCGCGCTGCCGTCCGTGTCTGGTTTCGCCGGCTCTGAATCTATGTACAATTCCCGCGTGAGCAAGCGAGCAAAAGCCGAGGAAGAGTTCAAGCATGTTGTCTCCGAGATCCAGGGATTGGAAGGACTATCGAATTTCCTGGCACCCCCGAGTGAAGGTGAACTCCAGCAAGCCGCCGGTAAGGGTCCTATCGTTGTGATCAATATTTCGACCTACAGATGCGATGCCTTTTTGATCGTCCAGAAAAAACCGGTTCAGGTCGTTCCGCTCGAAATCACCGAATCGGACGTCTTGCGGATGTCAAAAAAGCTCGGAACGATACAACGATCAATGACGGAGGTTTTGGAATGGCTCTGGGAGAAAATTGCCAACCCGATCCTGACAGAACTGGGTTTCACGGCGCCTCCCGTGAACGACGACTGGCCGTGTATATGGTGGATTCCCACGGGGCCACTGGCAAACTTCCCCCTCCACGCGGCGGGTATTCATACAGTCGGATCTAGGGACACGGTGCTAGACCGGGCAATCTCGTCGTACACTTCTTCTATCAAATCTCTCCGGCACGGGCGCGAGAATCAGGCGATGAGTTCCCGAACCAGTAATGCCGAGACATCGCCGTCCTCGGAGTCGGAAGCAAAGAATCCCAAGTTAAGCGCAATTCTAGTCGCTATGGAAAAAACTCCAAAAGGTCCAGGCCTCCGGCTCAGATCCCTCCGCTTCGCCAGGCAAGAAGTCAAGATACTCCGCGACCTCTGCCCGTCAATGGATCTTCACCCCCTCGAGCCGGAACGACGGCGCGAGAGCGTCCTATCGTCCATAAAAACATGCCGGGTCTTCCACTTTGCCGGACACGGGGTATCAGACCCGACAGAGCCGGCGCAGGGAAGCTTGCTGTTGGAGGATTGGGTGCAAAGCCGCTTAACCGTGGCGCATTTTCGGGATTTCCATCTCGACTCCGGGGGGAGTCCTCCTTTCCTGGCGTATCTCTCTGCGTGCAGTACCGGGTCTACAGCGGGGAAACTCGTTGATGAGAGTATTAATCTTGTGAGCGCGTGTCACTTGGCTGGGTTCTCGCATGTTATCGGGACACTGTGGAAGGTCTCGGATAAGTTGTGCGTTGAGGTTGCGAGGAGGGTGTATGAAAGGTGTCGGGACGAGGGTCTTGTGGATGAAGCTGTGAGCCGAGGCCTTCATTTTGCTTTGAGGGAGCTTCGTGATATAGCTGTTAGAGACCAATATCACGGTCGAAGGGATAAGGAGAGTGGCAGCGAGAGTGGCAGTGAAATATCCGGCAGTCTTGATATAGATGGGCGGGATATCGGTGGCCTGCAGAATTCGTCGAACCATTTCTTTTGGGTTCCTTACGTCCATTTTGGAGGTTGAGTTTGAATCAGATTGGTAGCTTGGAAATGCAATCCCGTCCCAAAATTGACCAAAACATACGCTCATATACCAAAAGTTTCTTCACACCCTCGATTTTGTAATCGCCCGCCTATTTGAATAGGTTAGCCTTATGCCTTTCATAAAGATACGGGGATGACTTTCACGCATTCTTAATAGTGCCGGCTAGGGATCGTATCTCTACTATAAGCTCTCTCTTTTCTCGTTTTAATAATAGGATTTCCGGCTACACACTTCGAGTGACTAGTAGATAGGCCAGATGCAATTTCCAGATGAGCAAGAAGGTTCAACAACAAAACCATCCTCCCCCAAGTGCCAAGGTAAACTCGCTCAAGTACGGACCGGTATGGATGTAGTCCACGGGGCAACTGCAGTGCCACTATTGATGGGACTCGCCGCCCCACGCTTAGGATAGCTTAAAATCTGCTGGATAAGCGGATCGAAAAGGAACACAACAACAATAATAGCGGCTCTGAGCGAGGCGGGAGTTCGGCCTCTGTGGCGGGATATAACCCTGAGCGATCCAAGCGGGCCGCGACTTACGTTATTGAACTCTCGTATGCTGGAAAGCTGACGGCGGTCTCGACCTTGGAGTCATAGCCACTTTAGCTGTCCAACAGCCTCTCCTAGTACGAACACCATAGAAGACCTGCACCCAGTTGCCAATATCGAAACAATTGTGTTGAGTGATAAATAGTACGCCCACTCTGGTCGATCTTTGTTGTCGTAGGCTCCTAAAACAGCACAGATACCGATGAAACAGGCGAAACTGAGTCCCATGATGATAATATTCAAGTAGCCAGAAGTCCAGAAAGACAATTCCTTTGTCAGGCTTTTGTTCCTGTGCCGTGTGAGTCAATTCCTTCGAATTGTGAGCACTATTCAAAAACCGGTATTCCGAATATTGAGGTTCGTAGAGCGTGGAACCAATCGCTAAAAGACACATCGCGTTGCTGGCGTCTAGGCAGAAGTCTTAATTTAGAGCCTTGCTCGTGAAGAGGAGCCTTGATCGTGAAAAGGTAGAGGAATTTCAGTCAAGATGGACATACGTTGGATCTGGCTGTGAGCCCTGGATAATGACTGTAAATCTAGGTCTTGAGACTCGCCATACTTCGATTTAGACAGAAAAGAATTATGTCTTTTACGACTCCTTGAAATTAGGCAAGAAGAAATGGAATATCTTGCAAGTGGAATTCAAGGAAGCATGACGGTGAGATAGTATTCTTGGCCCAAGAACCCTTTTGATCGGGGGTGGTGGAGTTGCGGTGTAAGTCCAAAAGGTAGTATAGAGCCTCAACCCAGGCAAACTAGAGGTCCGTGCAACTGGTCATTGGTAAATTCAAACTTGGCCTGTAGGTTTGGAGGGCTGCGCTTTGATTCATGTATGTGAGGCGGTATGTATATTGAGTGGGGATTCTTTAAAGAACCCGTCTATATCTCTATACTTTAATTCTCCTAAAAACTTTGATAGCTACGCTTATAAAGTTACCAGTTGTCTTAGTTGCGTAAGAAGGATTTTAGGTCTAAGTAAGACCTTCTTACTCCCTTTCTAATAACTTATAGGATCAAGTACGTGCGAATACGCTAGTCTTGTTTCGTAAACGGCGGTGTAAACTCAACTATATATAACAGAGCTGCACAGAACAGCTCGCAGCGTTGATCTCTTCAACCTCAAAAATTAGAGAGTATCTCTGGTATTTCCCTTTGTCAGCGCATTCAACGGTATCAGAGGTTATTGTGTTAATAATGGAAGACTCGAAGCAACATCTTCGCGATCATCTCATAGGTCATATTCCAGATATCATGAAAGGCCTCCTTCAGGAAGTTGGTTCAACTCCAATTCGAATACTTGGTGACACTCCCAACAAAGCTCTGGACTCCGAAGATTATTTGGAATCTATACGCCCATTTGTGTCAAAGGTTGAGGATTCCCTTCGTCAACATCGCCCAGACTGCCAGACATGCTTCCTCGCTGTAGCCATATACCCCGGGCGTCACTCCTATTTCGTGGTAGACTTTAACAATGCCCGTTATGACTATGATACTGCACAACACGACAAGAGTCGGGTACCTGCCTACGTTCTTCGACTATCTCTGAAAAACCCTAGGATCTACAGGAAGGAGCCCCTAGACAAGACGCTGGCTGAAAAGCTTGCAGAGTTGCACAATTCGCATGGCCGAGAACCGTTGCCTTTATTTGATGATCACAACCAGAGGCGTTGTTATGCGAGTCCCCGCAGCATTGAGCATATTCTGGGTTAATACATGTCGCGTGGTTCCTCGGTTTGGTGTGGGTATTCGGCTCATACATCGTTTTCTCTGATACTGAAGTGTCAGCCTTTTGGTTTCTATTGGCCTGTCACGAACAGTAGGCTACTATAAGCTTTTTGGGACCAACGTGACACACTGGGAAAAAACCACATGAATGGTCCGAGAAACGGTCGGGGCTAAAAATCCATCGCTTTAGACGAGAAGTCTTGGATAGAGCCCTCACTGGAGAGTGCGTTTCATAGATCTTCCCTGTCTCTTAATCTCACCTATCTCTTTTCATAAAAGCCGAAACTCTCTGGGAAAGAGATATCTCTCCGCTTCCATGTGCAGTCCAGATTGGTTCTCCCTCTCCTTCAGAAATATAAGACCAAGTCCAAGCAGTAAAGTGTCCCGTGATGTTCACGTAATGGACGATATGAAAGACGTGCTTGCAAAGGATCATTCCGCTGTCACTTTTCGAACGATGACCGGAGCTCTATATCCGACGCCTGACCACCATTCGTCCCCATAGCGAGCCCCAGAACCCCACTTCGAACCACGGACGTTGCTGACATATTCTTTGGGCATTTAAAGCTAGATGCAGAAATCTAGGATATCGTTGGAATAAAGACTAATTTCAGAGTTGTCTTATCATAAAATCATTGCTTAGTACATGGATGTTTAAGAGTACGTGCACGCCACATTATTGTCAAAATATATGAGCGCCCATTGATATTGGACCTACATCCATTATGAGAACTATGAGCAGTGCTTCCGAATATTCCAAGGTTCAAGCGAGGCCCAGGATAAGCGACAATATCGTGCTTACCAAGTCTCGGTAATTGTGCGCAACGTTAACCCCGCCGAAGAAGGTTCAAATATTGACATTCGCGGCTTAGCCAGGGGAGCGGTGGTAGTGATTGGTTCGGCTATCTAGTCAAAGAAGTTACCTGCAGTAGTGAGCACTAAAATAGAAAAGAAACGGGAATTTATGATCCAGGCACATAGCAAAAGGTCCGAGCCAATCGGCGGAAATTGTCGCGTACGCAAACCAAAGGAATGGAAGAGAAAAACAAAGTAAGAGACAGAAATTCCCGAATGGCTGACTATTATGGGCTAACTACATAGATATAGAGGGCATAACCTGGTAATTTACTGCAGGTCCAGATCTCTTGTCCACCCATCCACTTCACGATCCATAACGGTTACGACTGCCGATCGCAGTGGGCCCTTTCGTTTGGGGTTTATGAAGGACGGGCGAGTTACAGCTATTATACCTGTAAAATGTGCCCGTGGTCCTATAACTGTAGGATGAAAATAAACAATTATAACCTCTCACCCCTTGCATGAGGCCCAGCCAACCCCAAAACCAACAGCGATAATGCAATAATCCATGTAAGTGAAATGCTGCACTGTAGAGCCTTACGGGTCAATCCTTACTGCATCCAGTGGCGATGTGCACTCCGGATCAGAGAGCTTGAATTTCTTGGGAGCTTAGGATAGTATTGTAGACTGCCTATACAGCATTCCGGGGATTTGACAGGTGTCAGAATGTCGGGAATAGGAATGTTCAGCCACGAGGTTCCGGTTGCGGATAAGAAAGGAGGCCGGATGCGAACCTAGTAGTATAGACTGACCCCATAAATAATAATCATAATTAAATATCTACTACTGTAGTTATATGCTTAGGCCTAATTAACTAGCTTAAACGAGAAAAACTCAACCAGACCCTGAATCCGGCATGGCTCGGGACTAGACGCCCCCCATTTCTTTACCCTCCTCATTTCCTTAAACTTCCCCCCATTGCAATATGGGCCGTCAACTCTGAGATATTCACACCCAGAGAGCCTCCGACACCTCCGATCCTAGTCGCGATCCCTTCTGCAGTACAACAAATCCCGACCAACATAAAAAAAAATACAAAAGAAACAGAACCCCACGATGCCATTCGCACCGCGCCTCGCCGCGCTCGTCGCCCTCTTCACCCTCCTTACAACAACGCTCGCCGCAGACAAGAACCTAATCCCAACGGCGGCCTCCAGCACTTTCCCACAATGTGGCTTGACCTGCAGCCAGCTCTATGCCGCCCAAGACACCTGCACCCAGGCCGCCGACTCCTCAACCTGGGTCTCCTGTTTCTGCCAGTCCTCCTTAATATCCAACCTCAAGACTTCCGGCAGTGTCTGCTCCTCCTGCAGCGCCGGTGACCAGGCTCTCGTTTCCACATGGTATACCAACTACTGTAACTCTGGCGGAAAAGAAACGTCCAATACCGCGACGACAACTTCCTCTGCGGCTGCGAGTGCAACTGCAACCTCCACGTCCGGTGCTAGCAGTGCCAACTCGAGTAAATCTGGGTCGGCGACGGAGGAGAAGAAATCTTGGTATGTAGTACCTCTGCTTTCATTACACAGCGACATGCGCATACCCACACCCCATGTCAATATACGGAGTACTAACAAACAAAATAGGTGGAGCACCCACTACCGCTGGGTAATAATGTTAATCGTCCTAGTAATCGGCTTCGGCATCATCGCCGCGCTGGGCGTCTGGTTCAAACGCCGCTACGACGCCAAACGCCCAAACCTGTACCACGGTGGCAGCAGCGGCGTCCTCAGCACTGCTTCGCCACCATCCGGTCCTCGGGACGCTGCTTGGGCACCTGCGCCTATGCCTGTGCAGGAGCGGGGTCTGGGTTCCCCGTCTGTTGCTAGTAGCTCGCTCTCGAATGTTGCTCCTAAGACCAGTACGCCTCTTTCTGGGAGTCGGTCGCGTTTGACGAAGATTCCGCAGGGGCCTGGGGATGTGGAGATTCGGCAGGTTTGATTTGATCTTGTGTGGTTTTTCTTTATGGGGTTTTGATTGGTATTGATTTTGTCGCATTTTTGTTTGTTGTCTTATTGAATGTTGCATTTCTTTGGTGTTTAGTGTGGAATTGTGGGATTTGTTGTTTCTTTTCATTTATTTCGTTCTTTGATTGTATGTCTTTGCTTTTGATTCCCTTTTCTCTTGTTCTTTTCTTTCTTCTTCTCGTTTTCCGAGGAGTGGAATGGAGTTCTGAGTCCCGTGGATCTGTTCGTGACGAATCGTCACTTCTTATATCTCCTTCCCTGGACACTAGAAGTCTAACTGTGGAATGGACATGGTACATAGTACAACGCGTGCCGCATAGCCACGCGCAACCTGATATTCCCATTCATGATCCCATATACATACACAAAACGTCCCTCTTTCCCTCTTAACCCGTCAGCCACCAACGACCCCCTCAAGAAACACTAATACTAACAATCTTAATATCGACCTCGGGCTTCTCCTTGTGCGTCTTAACATTCTCAATCTTATGCACGATATCAAGACCCTGCACCGCCCTTCCAAAAACAGTATGCTTATTATCCAACCACGGCGTCTTTTCCGTGGTAATAAAGAACTGACTACCATTGGTATTCGGTCCCGCATTCGCCATCGACAATGTATAAGGCTTGTCATGCTTCAGAACAGAGAACTCGTCCGCGAACTCCCCACCCCAGATCGACTCGCCGCCTGTACCATCGCCTTGCGGGTCTCCGCCTTGGATCATGAATTTGCGGATCACACGGTGGAAGATGGTGTTGTTGTAGTAGCCCTGGCGCGCGTGGGTCACAAAGTTCTCTACTGCTTTTGGTGCGGCGGAGGGGTAGAGACGGAGGTGGATATCGCCCATGGTTGTGTGCAGGACTGCTGCTGTGCCTGTTTCTGCGGCCTTGGGTGCGGCTGCGCCTGTGTCTCCGGCTGATTGGGTTGGTTTCTCGTTTTGGACGTCTCGGGTTCCCTTTGAGATATCGGTGTCGTTGGTGAACATGTAGAAGCGCACTTTTGCGAAGCCGGTGCTTATCAAGATCGGGTCTCGTTCTTCCGCTTCTTGGAGGAGGGGGTTGCTGCTTGCTGCCATTGAGACGGTTACGACGCCCTTTCGTTGGGGCTGACCTTGGTATAGGGCTAGGTTCAGGGAGCGGAAGGGCTCGTCGCGGCCGTAGACGCGGACTACCCGATTTGTGTAGGTGTTTATGCATTTGATTCCGTAGAGCGAGCCGAAAAGGAGGAAGTGGCCCGATTCGTCGAAGGAGACATTGACCTTATGGCGGGTTGCTTCAGATTCAATTTCGCGTTCGACGCCGAGACGTCGGCCGAATTCGATTTCGTCGAGGGGGTATGGGGCTGTTCCGGCTTGTTGCATTTCCGTCATTGTTGTTATTGATTCATCGTATGTACGGTATAGCTTGCCGGTTGCAAAGTCGAAAACTCGCACCTGGCGGTCTGGGAAAGACACTGTTGCGAAGTGTTCGCCTGATGGGGAGATTGTAATGGCTGTTGGGACGGATTTAGCTTTTTTGAAGGCGAAGAGATTAGTTGAGGACTTGAGCTCGAAGACATTGTCGGGTTTCTCGAAGGAGCCGTCGCCTGCGCGCCAGTACTCGATCATGCCTGATTCGTCGGCTGAAACAACGCAGTCGAAGGTGTTGTTGAATGCCATTGACACTACTGGGCTGCGGTGGATGGATTTCACGGTGTGCAATGGGGTAGGGTTCTCGCCACGTCCGTCGAATACTTGCACTGCATTACTTGATTCGTTTGTCACAGCAAGAAGAGGGAGAGATGCTCCGCGCTGGTGTACCCAGCAGACACAGCGGGGCATGAACTCCAGAGTATACATCGCCAAGAGATCTGCATTTGTCAGTATGAAAGTGCAACATGGAGGAGAGTATGAACTACCGAATGTAATGACATCGAAGATCTTAACTGTCTTGTCTACTCCGGCTGTCGCAAAGCTGCGGCCGTCGGCACTGACAGTTACACTCCGGATCTCACCTGGGTGAGCAATGAACTCCTTCACAAACTCGATACCCTCAGCCATCTTCTTCCAAAACTTGACAACTCCATCTATGGAACTGGTGATCACAAAGTCCGTGTAAGGCGCAACGGTCACAAAAGACAATTGGTCCTTGTGCATCAGCGACTTGGAGTACCGCGCCGAG